CGAGGGGGGAAACCCATAGCTCATTTTAACCGAAAAAATATTGAAAAGATTTGTTGAAAAAAAACACAGATTCTTGATTTTGGAGGCAGTATTTTCAAAGCTTTTCATTATCTTTTAAAAAAATCATTTTGTAAGTTTCTTTTATCATTTCTTTACAGTTCACAAACCTACAAAGCAGTTTATAAATCTAGAATCAATTGTGAGGTTTAAAGTAACTGCAAACATAATTTCAATTTTGATTTACAACAATACCCTTCAAAGGTTTGTCTGATCAAGTATTGCATCAAGTATCCTTGTTTTCCATTTCGAAAACTAATTATTTTCATTAGTGGTTTCTCTACAAAAGTGATTTATAGACATGCGTTTCTTGCTTCAGAAACGATGGAGAAATGAAGGTTTCAAAGGTATATCGGACATGCCACTCTATAAATGGAGGGTAACTTGAAATTATGCAATTACGTATTCCATTCAATTATGATTACATCGTATAAAAAAATTCTTTAAATTCTCACTTTTGCCCTTAACTAGAAAAGTTTCATTAAAAAAGCTTTAATCAATGCTGCCTAAATACTGCCTGTAAATATTTGATATCATAATTTACAACGGAGAACTGATTGTTAAGGGTTAACAAATATGTATCGATCCTATGAAAATATAGATATTTTTTTAGAAACGTTTCCATCGTTATTTTTCATCCCTTGAAGCTTACACCAAAGTGTTAAGAGGATTGTCTGTCAGTCCACTTAAGAAAATTACATAAATAATTTATTAACACTTGTAATAGGGAAGTGTGTAGTAAATAAGATAAATAAATAGATAATGATTTATTGTGATAAAATCAAATAGTGATTATCATTCACAGTTAATTATGAAACAAAAAGATTTTCGGTTCAGCAGTCTCTGGATATGAGGAATAGCAGATTTTCTTTATTTTTCTGTCCTGGCATGATTAACATGATACTGCTCCTGGTGGCGTAGTTGGTGTTCATGTGGGTGACCTGCAGCAGGGAAGAGATGTTGATGTTTAGAAGATTTAATACATTTGTTTGCAAAAGAGAGGGATAGCTTGTCCTTTCTTGACTCCAGGGTCTCCAGTTCACAGGACTCAAATGCACTTGTATCTCCAACATAATCTTTTCCTAGAATAATTTTTACGCAAACTCTCTGTATCCGTTCAAGGGCATTGTTTTGGTGAACTGTGAGAGTCGAGTGTGTAAATGATCGAATAGTTAAAAAAGGTATCAATATTTTTTTCAGAAAAGGTTGCCAAGGGGGGCACACAAAAAAAATTGCGCGCAAAATGTGCCCCCCCCCCCTACAGAAATGCTCTCGTACGCCCCTGGAATTGTGCGTTATATGATCGAATAGTTTACATACAGGGTGTCCCACGAAACATGACAAGTGGTGAATATTTTAAAATGTCTTCTTCCATAATTTGTTAAGTTGTTTGATACCTAAGAGAATAATAATAAACATTATATGGCAGTTTTACTAAAGTAAAATCGATTTTTCTACCGAACTAAACTGCAAAAAGTCTTAAAATCTTATCCAGTATTTGGAAGAGGACATTCTAATCTATTCATCAACTGTCATGTTTCGTGGGACACCCTATACTTAGGGCACCACACATTTTTTCGCGCAAAAGTGCCCCTCCCCTACACAAATGCTCTCGTGCGCACCATATTTCTTGTATCTTAAAAATCTACATATATAATATTAGATATTAAGAAAGTTTAAATTGAAATTTGTACAATTTTTTTTATGGGGGGGGCACAATGTTGCCAAGGTGGGGCACTTAAAAAGAAATTTTGCACGCAAAATGTAGCCGGGGTGCAGAAATGCCCTCATATGCCCCTGGAATTGTGTGTAAGATCGAATAGTTTAGTTAGAAAAGGTATCAATATTTTTTTAAAAAGTTGGTTTATGACAAAGCATGATTAAATCATTGATGCTCGTCACGTTTATGCTTCGAGAGACTACTTGAGCCTGNACGGACACTGTTGCACTCGCTTCGTACTGAGTTGAGTTTGAACTTTGAATTACGAAGAGTATAGGTATACTGTGTGTACACAAATATATGTATTCCTTGACCCTGAACAGCTTGAGTCACACAACTATGGATTTAACCATGAATCATGATATAAAAGTTGAAATATAATAATAATTTTTATACAGAAAATTGTTTTAATAATAATTAAAATTTTTTTTTTTCAAATATAGTAGACCAGATTTGTTTAAACTGCGCCAAAAAACAAAAATTATAGTAAATAGTGTCAGGGTCGAGGGGGGGGCGAGGGGGGGGCGAAAAATGCTGAGGGGGGGGGCGAAACTCGGTTCGCCCCCCCCCTAGTTGCGCCACTGGGGGGGGCACATAATGTTAAGCCAAGCTGGGGCACCACACTTTTTTTGCGCGCAAGTGCCCCTCCCCTAAACAAGCTCGATCCTATGTCCCTGATATTTCTTGTATCTTAAAAATTGACATATATAATAGATATTAAGAAAGTTTTAAAATGAAATTTGTACAATTATTTTGCACCAAAAATTGATCACGTAGATTTTGAAAATATCAATTGACCGCAGGCGTTTTTCATATCATGATGTTTAACATGAATAAACTACAATAATTGTGTTCATAAAAAATGCCGCAAGGATGAAAGACGATAAAAAAGTCGTCGCTTAATTCCCATGTTTATTGGGACACCCTATAGCATCCTTGAAGTATCGTAGGACTCGTAATGTTACATCGTCTATACGCAACATTCCCCTACTGAACTTTGACCTAATAACTTTCCGACCTTCTGCAATATAGAACCTATGCCAGCTGTTTATTTTTGTAATATTAGAGGGTTAGCTTAGGACAATTTTTCTGGACCGAGCGCTGCGGCTAGGACAGGCTAGGGGCCGAGTGCCGCGGACAGGCTAGGGTGGCCGGCGCTGCGGCTACAAGTCCATGCAACTGTAAAACCACGTGCTAGTATGGTCGGATGTGTGGTATAGTAGATTTGGCGTAATTCAGAAGTGGAGTATAGCTGATTTTAGTAGGTCGAAAAATACACCATCCTCGTAGGACGTAAGTATCGTTGGGCGGATGTCATACATTCGCACACAAAAATTAATGCGGGTCCCGCGCATGCCTGCTTGGCCCGGCTCTCTCCAATCTAAACAAAACAGAAAGAAAAGTAAAACTTGAAAACAAAGACTAAGAGACTCAGACAAGTTACTAAAACGTATGTGAGTCATTAGATTACGCAAGAAGGCAGTACTGAGGAATTCTATCAATATCTGGTTTATTCCCTAAAGAATCGATAATACGTCATGATAAACTTTCAAAACATCATTCCAATGTCTTCACTCGAACATAGTACCCTTGTGGTGAAAACAAAGATCTCTATTTTATTGTTTCAAGGTAAAAGAAGATAGGACAAAAAAATGGCAGAAATTCAACCAAGGATATATGACTCTGAAAATGCAGTGAGCGTGGCACGAAATGACGAAAATTCCACAATGTCGATTCATCTATCTTCAAATGGAGTGGGAGCTACTCTTCACTATCCTATCGTTACGGAGCCTAGCTCAAAGAGGAAACTCTCTTTGAAACAAGCATCATCTTTAAAAGATTCTTCTAATTTAAAGGAAAGTATATCCTCAACATTAAAGCGAAAAACTAAACAGTTCCTCGGCCTTGATGAAGATGAAAAGGGGGAAAGAGAATTTTTATGGACTGAACGAAGGATTCGGTTAGCTAATAGGAAATATGGCGGAATAGATTTAGACAAGATTAACAAGACCCTACCACGACCTCCTCTTAGTGTAGATTCTCCTGATGGAGAACCAATAATCCACCAAGTCTCCATTTACACAACCTATCCGAGGTGAGCAATTTGAATTTTGATATAATCAGTGGTGCATTTTTTTATATAAATCTTTGTTGACCAGTCCGAAAGCTCTTCCAGCTACTTCAAATTTAAGAAGACACCGTATTATCTACCCCCAGTTATTTATAGAAAGAATGACCTCTATAAAAGTTATGTGGACCAAAACCATTAATATAAAAAGCGGTATATTCCTAGAGAAATATTTTTGGACCCCCCCCCTCCCCCTCTTATCAATTTTGTACATGGATCCATCTTATATGTTAGACATGGATATAATTGACCATGTGGCCGCAGCGCTTGGCCCTCAATCAAAACAACCAGAAATGGTTAGGCTGTAGCCCTGGCTAATAATTGTTTAGTAAAAAAATTATAAAATGTAAAATGTATTTATTATAATGTTAGCCGAAATATATATCTATTTATCTATCTATCGGACTAAATCCTGTAATAGATGAATTAGAGCATAATTCACCACCAGGGGTGTTAGTTTCACTTATGTTTACAAAATACAATTTTTGAGATTTTTGAGATAAAAATTGGCTGTGCTCCGTAAAAGTAAAATGATTGAAAAATAACATAAAAAAATTGCCTGATCTCTATCATTTAAAGTTATAAATTTATACATTTTATTTCAGGCACAAACAGTCTGTTGCCAATTTCATGGTGGACGGGATTTCGACCCTTGGGAGAAAAATTCGAGGGGAATCAGAAGAGGTGAAGACTCAATCACAGTCAAGAAGTTTTATTCCTAAAGACATTTATGGAGATAGTTCGTCTACTGTTCCAATAGACCAAGAGATATTTTTTGATAAAGTTCCAAGAGTACCTGAGCCATCCTTTTCCCGCAATCCTGAGAGGAATATCACCAGACTTAGTGATAAAAATCGCATCCGTCCTTTAGGTAAAGACAAGTCTTCTCCTAAAACATTTAATCAATCACAGGGTCCTGACACAGTGGATAAGAGAGAATATGGTATAGGAGTAGTCGGAGAAGCATTTGGTCGTGACTATCTCACAATGGTGCGTTCCAAACCTCATGTCCAAAAACAGTTAGATGACATGGACGATTATCGCCCGTACTTCACATATTGGGTAACAACAGTACAAGTTATAATTATGATAGTTAGTCTTGTACTTTATGGATTTGGCCCAATAGGAGTCGAGTTAAATCAAAGTCGAGGACAGGTACTATCACATGGATTATTCATAGAAGAGGTAGATTACCTTGAACCCTCGAACTTCTGGTTAGGACCCAGACCTGCTGATCTAATACATCTTGGAGCAAAGTTCTCGCCTTGCATGAGAAAGGATGATCTTCTCTTGGAGGAAAGAAAATTACAACTGGAACAGGAAAGAGAAACAGGTTGTTGTGTAAGGAATGATTACTCAGGATGCTCTCAAACTTCCCGAGAAGAGTGCTCTACACTAGTCTCGACCTTTCATAAGTGGAGTGCTGAGATGCCGGGTCCGGATGGGCGAATTTCCGGACCTGTTTGTGGCCAGGATCCTCAATACTGTACAGCTCCCTTATCTAGTTATTCAAATACATGGCCGGATGATATATCTTCTTGGCCTATCTGCTACGTCTCCTCTTTGCCTAAAACGACCAGCTTCTGGGGAATTGGAAGTCAAAAATTGTCCCCTGCTCCTGTTCACATGACCTGCGAACGAATATCTAGACCATGCTGTTTTGGTATTCATGGAAAATGTGAGATTCGAACTCAAGAATTTTGCGACTTTGTTCACGGATATTTTCATGCTGAAGCAACCCTATGCTCTCAGGTTTCATGTATGCAGGACGTCTGTGGCATGCTTCCATTTTTTAATTCTAATTACCCAGACCAGATATACAGACTTTGGACCGGATTGTTCCTGCACGCTGGCATCATACATCTGTTAATCACCTTGTTGGTTCAGCTCTACCTCATGCGGGACATGGAAAAGTTATGTGGTCCCTTTAGAATGGGAATAATCTACCTAGGTTCCGGGATGGCTGGTAACATAGCTTCGGCCATATTCATACCATTCCGAGCTGAATCTGGTCCTGCTGGTGCTCAGTTTGGAGTTCTCGCCTCCCTGATTGTTGAAGTTCTTAATGTATGGCCGGCATTGAAATCTCCAGGTGTAGCCCTTGGTAAACTTATTTCCATAATCTCTATTCTGTTCCTTATGGGCCTTTTACCATGGGTGGACAACTATGCTCATATTGTAGGATTCTTCACAGGCTTTCTTCTTTCTTATTCTCTGATGCCTTATGTTGCTTTTGAGCACAACTCACATAGCAAGACTAAACGTGCTGTATTGATTGCTGTATGTCTGATAATGTTTATTCTCATCTTCGTAACATTGACAGTAATATTCTACAATATTCCAAACACTGAGTGTGAATGGTGCAAATATCTAACCTGTATACCATTTACTAAAGGCTTTTGTGCAGACCAGAATATTAACTTTATGCAGGATCCACCGATACTTAATTTTTAAACAGAAAAGTATTATTTGAAAAAAATCTTCATGCCTTCTAGGCAGCATTTTCATAAGAGGTAAAACATTGTATAAACTAGTGCTTAGGATCCGGATCCGTTGGATCCGCAAGATTTTGGCTTTCTGAATCTGGATCCGCAAAAAAATATGCGGTTCCCCACGGATCCGGATCCAAGGGGTAAAATATCGACCAAAAACTGGAAAAAAACTTTTTACTCATAAAACCTGATTTTTTGAAAAAAAGAGAGATTATAAAAATTTCCTCATTTCTGAATGGTTCATCGAGTTTTAGGATAAAAATATGCGAAAAAAATAAAACAGAAAATTTGAAAATTATTTTTTGTTAAAAAAATCCGGTAAATCTTAAAGAAATGACCTGGATAAGGATCCAGGATCTGCATCAAAATTAAATGGATCCTAAGCACTGGATAAACAAATAATTTTTGACGAATTCCCACTCTCCCTTAAACCACTGAAGAGTTTTTTTCAGAAATCTTTAATCTAAACTTTTTTTTTCCTTTTTGATTTGCATTTATTTCATTTACACATGATATGAAGTCTTGAATGAAGACAAAGTAAAAAAAAGATATTTTTTAATAACATTATTTAGCATGATATCTTAATCTTTTGATTTATAATCTATATCGTTTTTTATCAAGTATATGAAATTGAATTTATTTTTTGATATTGTATCTTTAGATGATAAATATATATTTTTTGCTTTATTTATTCTATTATTTTTATTTTTACTTTATTCTATTGCCATTTAAATGATAAATGAAATTTTGATAACAATTTTTATATAATTCACCATGTTGTTCAAAGTGTTTAAGGAATAAGATATGAAATTGTTAAATTTTCAATCTGTACTGATGTATTGTCAAATTCAGTTTATTACTGTAACCGCTAACAACATTGCATTTGGAACTGGGAACTCATGATTTTTTTCATGTTTTATAACTTTATTTAGCTAAGGTTCTTCCCAATTCAAGATGTTGGGAGGTAGGCCAACCATGATCCGAGCCACATTCTCCCCATTTTCTCATCCTTACAACCTCTGAAACCTAATCAACGCATTTTTTCGCTTTGAAATGGTAAAATATTGGGAATCTCGGCATAAATGAAACATTGCATTTTTGTGAATTGAAAAAATTATTAGATTGAATTAAAATTTTCGATTTGTCATTAATTATCTTCTTTTTACGCGCATTTTCAGAATGGGCTTAAGAAATTATATGTAAATTGAAATCAGGTTTTGTGGATTTCTTCGCAAATGAGCTAAGAAAACTAATTTGGGAAATAAGGTTTCAACGACTTAAAAAAAAGATAAATCACTATTTTTTCCCGGATATTAACAAGTAACATCAGGATGAACTTGCTACCAAAAACAATTTAACTTTTAACAAACATTAGTGTGTCTATAGTGGCACATAAAATAGGTAGAAAAATTAATGTTTGCTCAGAATTTCAGAAATAATGCTCGGAAAATGGATTAACAAATTAATGATAATTAATAAGTAACAATTTTATCGTCTTCCTTCTAAGAAGATTTGTAATCATTTATAATCTAGTTTGAAATGTAAAGAAGGCAAAAAGTATTTAAATATAGATGTAGACATAGAAGATAACTATTACTAGGAGAATTCTTTAACATGATTTGGTTTTTTATATGTTTTATTTAAGCATTGTTTTGATGGATGTTTGAGTTATTCATTATTAGATTTAATACCATGACAATAAAACTGAACACTTGTCACAAACTCTTATTTTTATAATCTCTGTCTTTGCAACTAGAAACTTTAGTATTTCATTAACATAATTTATAATTTTAAATATTCTATTTCAAAAAGTATTTTTAGGTCAATTTTTCTTGTATCTTCAATCCTACCATTTATAATTAAATCAAAAATCTATGGTAATCTTTCAAAATGATAAATATTGGACTTCCTATGTACAATGTACATGTAATCTGCAATCTATGTTTTCCTCTTTTTTGAAAAGGTAAATTTTTTTTGGAAGAAGCATTCAAAATCATTAATTTAATCAGAATGTTGTGCCTTTAAAGTTGTATAACTTTTTTCTACTTTTTTGATTTTTGATAATTTTAAATTCTAACTAAAATTAAATCGACAGTTTTAAATAACTGTAACTCTGTTTCCTACTATTTTACACAAAAATAAAGGAATTTATTGATTTTTTGAGTGGAGGCTTGATGCGTTTTATATCCAATTCATGAGTATCGTAACCAATTTATATACAGTGAAACCCTTGATAACGAATACAACAAAAGAATTTATCAAATGTCGTCTTAACACTTTTCAATGGGTTTTATACTATATTACGTAAACTTCAGTATTTGCGAAAATAAATAAATAGCCATGAATATGCGGGAACAGTTTTAAAGAGTTCCATATAATTATTTAATTAAAAAACTAAATATCTGCAACATTCCATTATCAGAAAGTGAAGAATACGACATTTGATGAATTCTTTCGATGTGTTCGTTAATAAGGGTTTCACTGTAAACAACTGTTTTATTTCTTCACATTGTGTACCTCTAAGAAAAACTTTCATTATAGGCAAACATAAAACATCTTTACATGAGTATATTAAGTTGAAATGTAATCTTCAAGGCCTACAGTTAACTAATTACGTAAGGTTTATTAGAAAATATATATTTTACCTCTGTAAAAAGTCTTTATGAACTTATTCAATTTGTGATCTTTACTCAAACTCAAAACATATTTAGGCCGAACCTTAGGCTGCCCTAAAGTGATCGGGTGTTCAAAAACCGGCCACAGTTTCCAAGTTATGACCATTCAAGAAAAAATGAATGGACGAGGTTTCGGATAATCTTCTTTGACAAAAACTCGCTCCCGTGCATACTTATGTGAAAGCATGCACACTGTTCATTGTAGCATTTTCCATTATGAGATAACACTCACTGTGTTTGTAGTACAGGGTGTCCCACGAAACATGACAGTATGCAGGACGACTTGAATGTCGTCTTGATTTTTGATATAATTTGCTGCGTTTATTTGTCAACCTAATTTTAGAAGTAAATTTCTAGAGATAATAATCACAAAATTTCCCTTGTCCTGCCATTTCCAAAATGTGGTCTGCCTTTTTTGTGCTTTCAATATTGCCCGAGATATGAAGAATTTCGTTCAGATTTCGACAATTTTGCTTTTATTTAACAAAATTGAAATCTGAACCAAACTCTTTATATCTCCGGTAATATTGAAAGCACAAAAAACGCAGACCACTTTTTGGAAATGCCAGGGCTAGGGGAATTATGTGATAATTGTTTCAAGAATCATACATGTTAAAGTAGATAGAAAACTAAATGTCACAAATAAATTCAAATACCAAAGACGACTTTCAAGTCGTCTTGCTATTGTCATGTTTCGTGGGACACCCTGTATCTCCATGTCAAGTCGCTCAAAAGTATGCTATCCTCTAATATATAATGTAGTTTTTTTTCTCTTGAACTGCTGCTCTGTCAAGTGTCAATACTTGAATATAAATTTAACAGCAATCAAGACATGAAAAACGAAAAAAAATGTATCTATTAATTTCTGGATTTTGACCTTACCAAATTGTAATTGTATGTACACGATAATATCGCAAAAAAATAATTTTATCCATAATAACAAATTTTGTAAACCTGTAATAATCTCGATACATAAATAAATATCTAGATCTTAAAAAAAAGGTTTCGGAGGAAAAAATGAGCCGAGAATGTGGTTCAGATGTAGAAATGATGTGGTTGGTCTCCCACCAGTTACCAGATAAACACACCTACATGAGGTCTATGTCTCCGACTGTGCTCTTTTTCCATTATGGAAATTTTCAAATTTTGGAGCATTTAAATTAAAGGTTTCATTAAACTCTACCATTTATATTTTTCTTCTTAAGTGTAGAATTATCATTTTCTAATCATTAAGAAATCTTTTTCGCTTAGATTTAATAGGAAATCGGTATTTTTTTATATCAATATCTAATTGAATATTTGTAATGAGAGTTGCCTAAAATTGGGTAACTTTCAAATTTAAATACAAAAACAAAAAATCCATTCCTTAGACATGCCGAACGTTTGCGCCAAAATTTCAGAAACTTTAGATTTATGAATCATATTAAAAATGTGTTTTTTAATAAGTAAATCCTCTAATATTTAAATTTTTACGCATTAGCAACATACATACTCGTCCTTTCGTCCAGGTTCCCCCCCCCCCTGTCACTAAGCTATGGGGAAAATTATGAAAACCTGGCCCCCCCAGATTAATTTTCCCTCACGAGGATTATACTTTTCTATGTGATATTTTGTTTCAGAGTATTGAATGATGAGCTTCATTTTTAATTATTTTCATTTTTATCAGTTTTTTAATCATGTAGTTTTATAATATGTGATTCTAAACGATTTTTTGTGTATTATATTTGCCGTTACTCTGTAGTGTATACATATCTTCATCCAGAAGACGACATTCTTTTATCCAAAATTCTTTAATGAGATTTTTAGTCTTTTTTTTATTATTTTTTTTAACAGAAAGGGAGGTTGTTTCAGAGTATTGAATGATTCCAATGATGATTTTTATACTCTTTTCTCTCTCCTATCCCAACTTAACAGTAATCCACTAATTCCTTCCAAAATGTCGTCTTCTCCCCTTATTAACATTTGTACCCACTAAACTACATATTCTTCATAGTTTTTATATACATATTTTATTATACATTTTTAAACTAAATATTCTCCATAGTCTTTAGACACGTATTTATTATATCTGTATCTCTGTTCTGAACTTCTATATCTTGCTGATTCTCTTTCCAATACTGTGGTCCCCGTAGAACATCTATTCACTACTCAATCTTCCCAATTACTCCAACTCCCAATTTACCAACCCTTTTATCATCCTCACATTCATTGAATCCCAATCCCAACTTCCTCTTTAGTTGGTATCCATCCCAATTCCCAACCTATTTTATCTATTCCCAATTGATCCCTGTCCAACCTATTCCGACTTCCTAGTCCTCATCCTAATCCCAATCCTTCCAATCCCAACATTGGTTAACATTCATTTGGGATTCTTACAGTTTGGGATTTTACTTATAAAATCAGTTTTATATTATTGCCGACCTTTTTACATGACAAATGACAGCTAGCAAACAAAATATTATGATTTAATGATGTATTATTGTTTCATGAATGCCTTTTTAGAAAACCTTTATATACACCAGTTGTATCTAGTGCTTGGATTTCTATCTTTTCTCTACCTGCGTGGTTTTAAATGGTTGGCTTGGTTTAGGGGTGGTTATATCCCAAAACAAGAATTATTAATTTAATGATGTATCAATTTATCAATTTATCATTCAATCTATATTTATGTTTGTTTATCTTGTAAATTGTTATTTGCTATTTTTACCCTGAAATCGAACCAGGATTTTAAGTATTACAAGCCCGACCAGTAAAAAGAACACACACCATCATGTAGTGTTGCTAAGAAATCCCACTAAGCCTCTCGCAATTGGCTTACTTTAAGCGAGTTTGTTCTACCTATGTGATCGTGGATTATAAACAATAAATCATAGTGCTCATTAAACAACCAGATAGCAGAGAGGAAAGATAAAAAGTTTAAGATGGAAAGTGTTAGATAGATTGGATACAACAGCTACCACCCCCACCTTCATACATATCAACTTCATCTACATCATTCCTCCCTTCTGTTTTCTTCCTCCCAATTTTTCCCCACCAAACCAATAATCTTTTTTGCCATTCCGGCAAAATTTATATTGTATAAATTCTAATCTTCGTGCAATAAATATTTGATTTGATTTGATTTGATAACTCTACACAATTTACATGTGAGATAACGTTTATTAGTAGTTGATAAAATGTAGTAGTTGTCGAAATGTTACGATTAACCGATTGTAAATTGACGATCCATTCCAATATTAATGGTAAAATAAAGTGTGATATTTTCCCAAGCGTACTCTAGACGGCAAAATTATCCATAACATACAATTATAAACTCTCCCGTTCAAAACGATTCGTGTTTGTATTTAGTCATTATTCAAATTTCCTGCCTATTTTATCCTTTCTTTAAATGTTTTCATTCCATCCTATTTTTTTCTTTCTGTAACTTCTTTAATCCCTGGATCATTTGACAGCTTAGATGGTGAAGTAATATTTTAGCGAAGGCCTAGATATAGTATGTAAAAACTAAAAATAGCGCATTGCATAGCAGATAGCACGGAACCGGTCAATGATTTATATATCTCACTGTAGTTATTTTAAAAAGCGAAGGCCTAGATATAGCAGGTAAAAACTAAAAATAGCGCATTGCATAGCAGATAGCACGGAACCGGTCAAAGATTTATATATCTCACTGTATTTATTTTAAAAAGCGAACGCCTAGATATAGCAGGTAAAAACTAAAAATAGCGCATTGCATAGCAGATAGCACGGAACCGGTCAATGATTTATATATCTCACTGTATTTATTTTAAAAAGCGAAGGCCTAGATATAGCAGGTAAAAACTAAAAATAGCGCATTGCATAGCAGATAGCACGGAACCGGTCAATGATTTATATATCTTACTGTATATATTTTAAAAATTTACCCTGATTTTTGATGTCCTGGAAAAAAATTAAACGTCAAAAGTTATTTCATTCTTTTAGATTCCCAAAACTTTATTTTTTCCCCAAGTCAAGAAAATAAATCTTAAAAAACATACGTAACATAATAGAGGATAATTATGTTGTTTTATTACAGTAAGAATCATAAAACTCTGGAATAAGTAGACGACTTTTAGACCCAAATTTATGATCTTTTAAAGGCCATTGAACATGCGACACAGCATTAGTGCAGTGTAAACTGACACAGTTCACTTAAAAGGTGATTTAATAAGTTACTAGTAAAACTGGTTGCTTTGCCACTACATCAAAAGCACTTAATTATGGCTTTAATTGCTTCTTTCTATACCAGTTTTCTAGTTTTCACTGTAGGAAGACAATAATAAATATTGATTGTAACAATTAGGCCGAAATATATTCATTAATTTATCTATACCCTCACTGCAGAGTTCAGATAATTTTATTAGGAAAATCGTTTCATTAACGTAATAAAAACGATCAGTATTTTTATTGACTAAAAGTTGAACGATACACAGAGCACAATTTAAAGCGAATTTATCCAAGAAAAATAATATCTTGAAATAAAATTAAAGGTTTAGAAGTTGGGGGGTGATGGAAAAAGAAACTTATGATTAAAGGAAGTGTAGTTGACTACTGAGTACTGGTTTGGGACTATTAGCATCTACTTCGGAGGTTTCAGCATATTAGAGGACACAGGCATTATTCTGTCTCCAACTAGAACCTAAATATGTTTAAAATATTTAGAATGGGCGTCTGCTCAGCCACCTTCGAAGTCCAATAAAATTATAAATTGGATGAACTGGATATAGATAGATTGCGCACAAGACGACATTTTTCATCTTGAAAGATATAAATGTACAGAGATGTTTTAAAGATATTCCTATTATTTAGATTAACTAGGTCGGTTGTGAACATAGGCTGTTCTTATGCCATTGAGTACTTGTGGTGAACATGAGTTCTGTAGAGAGAAATTTAAGTTAGTTTACTCCTTCTCATGTCCTTCTTCAGTTCTCGTCAATGTAATTTGATATTCTCAAAATAAAATTCACTCCTGAGTATGTGTTCGCGGACTGAACAATTTTTAGTGATTTTGCGTACATAAGCTATCTATGTTTATTTATTTATCTATGGATAAACTACACAAAGATAGATAAACTCCGAAATTTGTTTTCACCAGATTACTATTGGAGTTCGTTAAAGCCGTCCCATAAAAAAGTATCTTGCATTTACAAAGGGCCGAAAATTAAATAAAAAGGGACTAAAACAAACTTTACCTGTGGTCCGGTATAGTATCTGAAGAACAGTGAGGATCCACGTTTTAACTGAGTTTGAGACTTTAAATGTGAGAAGCAATCAGTCCAGCTAATGTACATTGGCATGAAAGGAGGGTATCCTGCGGCTAAACCAGACCTGGACACTACCATACAATTTCCTACTACCTAGATTAAAAACATATATATTGCGGATTGCCAATTACCAATTTTACGAGACATGTCTATAAAACAGTAACTAGAAAGATAGGAAACAATTGGAAAAGAAGGCTGAGCCTGAAGACAGTGTAGGTATTAAAAAATTAAATTTTTACATAGCAGTTATCCGGTTTTATAACAGATACATCATAGACCTCAAGTATTCAGAGCCATTAAATTAAAAACATAAAAGAAATGTTCAAACATAACCTGGAATGGGTAGGTTAGGGATTGTGCAATGTAGTTGGAAAAGTTGGAAGTAAATTTCTTCATTTCTGTGTCTTTTAGTAAGTAGGTGTTGATAAGAAAAGTGATTGACGCTGAAACGGCAACCAAAGAAACCTAAAACAGTAAAAATTACTTTTTTCCATGCTTAAAATATTATTTGATGTATGTACCTCTCCGATAAGCCTTGGCATGACTCCAGACCAAAGCCCAAATATTCCATTATCCTGCACTGTGCTCATTATTCCGGAGAAAATGCCGCCTAAATAATTTTACTTATTATTTCACCATATAATTAATTTTTCCACATCTTAGCCAAAGATTATTGTATCCGGTTCTAACTTTGCATGTGCACTGAATACCTCCGACGTCTCCTATATTTTAACTCTGGTACAATACTTACAGAGCTCAAATTCAAAACTTAAATAGAACTAAACCTAATTAAATAATTTTGTAATGCTCTGACTGTAAAGTTGTTAGGAATTTGGCTGACACCCTGGACTGGGTGTCAGCCATTAGTAAGAAGGGAGCCCATCTTCAATAGAGCATGAAATATCTAAAAATGTATACAAAAACATTTGACATGTCAAAATCATATTTAATTTTTCACTTCATTGACAAAAAAGTACTAATGCTTGTCCGCCTATTTGGTATTTATATTTACCAACTATTTTATTAAAAATTACGGTTTCCTATTTATGGGTATTTTCTATTATTAGACCTGAAATATCACTGCTATATTTGTGTTCGCCACCAACGAACTCAGCAATTGCACGGACAGTTAATACCTGAAAAATTGAAAAAAAATCAGAAAAATACAATATTGAGGATAACTTCCTTTTTCGGAAATCAAAATTTTTAACGAAGCTCTAAGGTATGCAGTGATTTTATGATATTCGGTATCTGGTTTTATATTTAATGATATGTGGGTAGAAGAATGAGCCAATTTATAGTCACTTCAGACAAAAATATGTTAGATGAAATTCTTACAATCCTTAAAAGATTTCAAGGAGAAACTAAGATGAAATCCAGTACCAAAATTGTAAAAGAAGTAGATGAAGGGAGGAAGGCCAGCCACAACAATTTCTCATCCGAACCACATTCTCCTTATTTTCTCGTTAGGGCATATTGCAATGATTACATAATGTTGAAATCTTCAAAACCATGAGAATGATATCAAACTTTAATCAGGTAAAACTTAAATCTCTTCTGCTTTCGTAATGGCTAACCTTCGTGATATAAAATAAATAGAAAAATATTTGGCATACCTCTGCCTATAATTTTCCCCATGGAACCACCCGGAATAATTCTATAGGTTTCACTATAGTTAACACAAAAGATTGAACGAGAAAATGAGGAGAATGTGGCTCGGACGAGAAAATGAGGAGAATGTGGCTCGGAAGAGAAATTGTTGTGGTTGGCCTTCCTTCCCTCAGTAGATACACTAAAAGATAATATTTATAAATGAAAAATATACTTATTTTTACCCTTAAAACTTTATGGTTTTCAATTGGGATTTCTCTTTTAAAAAGGGCATGCGGATATGCTGCAGATATATTAAAGAAAATTGTTAAATTTCAACACTTTTTATGATGAAAAATGACGATATTTTCCTCACTGCTTTTCAGATAAAGGTTTAAAAGGTACCATTGTGAATCGGACATGCATTCTTTTGATAAAGTCACTTTAAACTATGTCTACAGTCTTTTGAAGTATATTACTTTATTATTTTATTATATTTTATATTTATTATATTTATTTATATATAAATTTATAAAATTTTAGTGTATTATATTTGATTTTATTATTTTATTGCTACAAAAATATTTACTTGTAAAGGCTGGGAGACAATTACACAAACAGTTTTGTTTGCCATATCCCTGAGAGTCGCTTTAAGGAACCTATGGAGTTTTTCCTCATCAGTCAACTTGCTGGTATCTTCCTCACTTAGTTCAGCCTCTAGAAAAAATCATAGATACTAAAGGTAGAGATTGTTAAGAAGTAGTTTGAATGTTTTTACAGAAAAATCACCACCCCCTCTCTCTTAAAAGCAAAGACAATTAACATTTTTATTTATTACGAGAACATATGTCCTGTTTTGTTTTTAGAAAAATAGCGGCATATAAATAAAAAATCTGACAGAGGATGTCTGAGGTAATAATGAATTAAAAGTTTTAAAGTTCTTTCTTTTGATATTATGAATGGTCTTTCATACTAAATTTTCTTCCATACTATACTATAACAATCACTAATCAGGATTTGTACTACTATATTTATCATTTATATTTGTCGGAAGCAAAATTACATTAAACAATAGAAAAATTTACAATTTACCACGAATACTCTTTTCTCTGAGTAACGCGTTTTATGATAGACAGGGTTTGCCAAAAAACTGGTGCCATACAAGGCTTAAGTAAAATTAAGTTATTCAGAGGTGGTTTTCAGAAATGGAGTATCTTGGTTCCAGTCTAGTGTTTTTCTTTGTCTAAAAATATGGTATGATGACAGCACTGCAAGACTTGAAAGATTTTTGCAAAATGCTTTTGAACCTAACATTGGGTTTGCAGAAATTATGCAGTTACTTTAGATTTGCTTTGTTTGATGTTGAGATATATTTTCTTAATCCGATTTCAAAAGGGTAAACAGTCACATCCCTAGCTGTTATCTGTGAAAAAAATTTCATATTTGTTCATAATGTGAGTGTTGGAATTTTCAAGATTCAATTCCAGTGGGACAGTAAGCTCAAAAATATCCATCTTTTCCTCCCCTCTCTCGATAATTAGTAGATCTCGACTCAAGGGTGTCATTAAATGAAATTGCATAGTGTACCACTCTACCGGTTCTGAAAGGGCTACTTAGGAGCGGTTTGGCTTAATAAAGGCCTGCACCTAGGACACACTCGAATGCAAATCCTTGTCCTTCATCTGGTTTCTATTTACCTCCTCCAAAATGGTTAACCTGACCATATGGCTAAACTCATGAACCTAAGTAGTCCAGGGTCACTCAAGTCCTCAAAGACATACGACATTACTGCTTTCAGAATCACATCCTTCTTTTTGTCACCAAGACCTGGAGGTACCTCAGGGTTCCTGACACACAATTATGTGCTTAATGGGCATTAGCGCTGCATCCGTTTACCCAACAACCTTAGATGCCGACCTCAGAATTTAGAGTTAAGATGTATACTTCTTACTACTAATACTTAAACTCTATTAAGTACCTGGCGGTACCATTTCATCAAACTTGGCAGCTGTAAAGCTCTGTAGCGCGATGCTAGATATTCTCGGAGTAATCCCCCGAAATAGTCCCGACCAACCCTCTCTGCGTCTAAATAGAAGATACGCGTTTGCGGTCATAAATCTAGATTTTAAGCAAACTACATGTTTGATGGGGGGGGGGGGAGGCACGCTGCACCCTTAGGACTTCATTACCGCAAATGACTCTCAAACATAGATTTGCAACAGCAATGCGATGAAGATTATCATTTCCTTAACAAATTAACTTATAAGTTATATAAGTAAGTAAACATCGACTCGCTTCCTAGAGCCAGTGCTTAGGATCCGGATCCGGATCCGCTGGATCCGCATTATTTTGGCTCTTTGGATCCGGATCCGCAAAAAAATGCGGATCCACGGATCCGGATCCAAGCACAATTTTATTTTTCAAAATGTGCAAAACAGCGTTAATTTTCCTTAAAAATATCCTATTTTGAATTGTTTAACAGATTTTAAAAATGTTCTCAGGGTCTCAGGTTTCTATCTTGCTCAAATCTTAACTCAGACCTCCACCGTGCACCCCTCCCCCCACCCCCTTTAATAACTAGAGAGGGGGGGGGAGAAGTCTCCCTTTTCCCCATTGCAACTAAGCAAATTTAGTCTTCACAAATTAAGGTGTAAGGATGTGTAAGAGTGAGGGGGAAAAGGGATGGGGCGCACATATGCTAAAAAGATACAGATGATAAGGAACATCTTGTGTTCCCAGTATCTCTGCCCTGAAGATATTCAAATCAGACCTAAGGAGTTGCCTGAAGGCAGATATTCCAAACGCCCTCCTTCTACTAAAAGCTAATATGAATTAGACCTGTTTTTTTTTCATCCAATGAAGTAAAAAAAAATCATTATCATTTTGTGCAAACTAATAGAAAAATAGTATAAAAAAATGTTAAATGTTTAACATTTTTTTTAGGTATGAAAAGACATTTGAACTAAAATAAAATTTTTTTTTGATCAATGACCTGGATCCGGATCCGGATCCGCATCAAAATTAAATGGATCCTGAGCACTGCCTAGAGCAATAATTATTAAAATCTTTTAAATAGATAGATTCCAGATAATTCTAAACCGAATCACACGCAACACTGCGTTATTTTTGAAAGATTGCACTTCTAATTATTTTAAAATTTTTTTTTAGAGAAGATTAACATCAGCAGGTATTTACAAAATATTATATTTTGCTTTCAGAAGCAAAGACATTTTGCAGGAAGACAAAACGGGCGCTGCCGCAAATCCATTTAGAGTATTTTTTTTGGAAAGGAAGCTCTGCAGATGCGGCGCATTTTCCCCTCCTCGTTTAATCAAATGGTTTAGGAGTACTCACTGCTCCCGTGGGTATTTGCAATAGTGCAATAGATGACACCCGTAATTTTAAGCGTTTATCCGATAGTTCAGTTCCGAACATAAATGAAAGATATATAAAAAACAAAAATAAAAATTATTCTCACCAAAAATGATCAAACTAATTAGAACTGAGTAAAATAATTAAGAAAGTGATGCCGAACAATATACCTTCGGAAGGAATGTAAATATGTTGAAATGAATTTATCAAGGAATGTAAGTTGATGCAAAAATGTTGTTAGTTTTGTTGTTGATAATATTGGGGAAAATCTATTTTTAGGTAAAGCATGTAAGTTAAGGGGGTAACTTTTCAGTTGATAAATATATATATATATATATATATATATATATTTCAGTTTTTAACTTCACATTTTTATTAAAAAAAGAATTATACTAAACATAGTGTTTCACGTCTATCATGACGATCCTCAGTGGTTACAATTCTTTGAACAACACATGCATATTTTATGTCTACACAGTTAACTGTATACATTCTTCCCGACACATTTATTGTGCCTGAAGATAATTTGTATCCAGTGCTTAGGATCCGGATCCGTTGGATCCGCAAGATTTTGGCTTACTGGATCCGGATCCGCAAAAATATGCGGATCCACGGATCCGGATCCAAGGGGTAAAATATCAACTATTAACTGCAAAAACAACTTTTTTACTCCTAAAACCCAACTCTGAACTTTTGAAAAAAAAGAGATTATAAAAATTTCCTCATTTCTTAATGGTTCATCAAGTTTTAGAATAAAAATAAGCGAAAAAATTAGAATTTTTTTTTTTAAATCCGGTAAATCTAAAAGAAATGACCTGGATCCGGATCCAATTTTTTTTCCAGTGCGGATCCAGGATCCGGATCCGCATCAAAATTATGTGGATCCTAAGCACTGTAATTGGCATGTGCTGCCAAAAGGAAAGCATAAGAAAGACCTTACAAGAAACTGGGTATTTTACTGCATTTTACATCCTTCACTTCTTAAATTCTCTTAATTCAGTAATTAACAGAAACTTCACGCGAACATAATTATTGATCAATTGTGTTGGATGAAAATTATTGAAGAATGCGTCAACTATAATTACCTGATATATCCACAGTACTGAAATACAGATGGCAAAGATAGAGCTGGTTTGCCTAACAGAGTTCTAGTTGCCCTGGGAGCTACAGGCTCATGACCAAGCTAGTAAACATATTTTTAATTTTTAATAAGAGTCATGGCATCAGGGGCGGATACAGGATTTAAGTGAGGGGGGGGGGGGCAAGATTTTTTAGGAACAAAAAAATGAATAATTAGGAACAACAAATCGTGCCGCAGGCGAAAGGAACAAAAGTAAAGGATTAGAACAGGAATTTAGGAACAATTAAAAGATTGTTCAGGAATTCGGAACAAAAATAAAGGATTAGGACAGGAATTTAGAAACAATTAAAAGATTGTTCAGGAAATAGGAACAAAATTAAAGGATTCGGACAGGGATTTAGGAACAATAAAAAGATTGTTCAGGAATTAAGAACAAAAATAAAGGATTAGGACAGGAATTAGGAACAAAAATATAGGATTAGGACAGGGATTTAAGGTGGGTCGGACACAGGAACAGGAACAATAAAAGGAACATTAGCAATTTAAGAACAAAAAGAAATTACTAGTTATGCTTAAATGCATGAAAATTAGGAACAATATTACAATTTTGATAAATGAGTATTGATTAAGGAACATTACTAGATATGAACAATATTATAACTTAACTTACAAATTTCTAATTCTAAATTTATCGTTAACAATAACATTGATCAAATTGGGAACATTTTTTGCCTCGAAATCTCAGGGGGGGCTACGCCCCTCCATGAATCTGTCAGAGGGGGGCGAATGTCCCCCTTGTATCCACCCCTGCATGGCATAGTACCCTTAAACTGTTAAAAAAGCAGATAATTGTTTAATATAAAGCTTTGTCAGGGCTTTAATAGAAGGTATTAACTAAAATTGTAACTTTTACATTTGGTTTTATTTTTATTTCTAATCTTATTAAAACAATACACATTGCTCAAAATAATGTAAATAAATAAATAATAGATCCATCAAAGGACGGAAACTAATGTAACAGTTGATTAATAACACACCTGGATTATGGTAAGTCAATACTGCTAAAAACTAAAATGGTAAGTTATTATTGTCAGGACAAAATATTTAAGGCAAGTGAGCATAATTTTTTAATTGAAGTTTTCCATACGCTTTTTTTTCAAAATTTGTCTGCATTGAAAAAAATAAATATAATGAGTGTGTAAGAATTTCCATTTTTTAATCTTTTAAGCGTGTAAGAATAGTATATTTTGTTAACATAGGAAGCGAAAAACAGGGGCGTACGGGGGGGGGGGCACCTATATAAAAAATACTTTAAAATCTCACTGTTGACCTGAACTAAAAAAATCTTATTACAAAGCTTACAATATGTATCGTTTCTATGAAAATATAGATATTTTTAAAGAAACGTTTCCATCTTTATTTTTCAACCATTGAAGCTTACACCACAGTATTAAGAGGAAGTGTCCGATGAATCCAATTAAGAAAATTACGTAAATAATTTGTTAACACTTGTTATATGGAAGTGTGTATATGTGCGCTATTTCGTGTTTATATATAAAATATGAGTCTAAAATAGATTCTTGAAATATTAACTTTTTACGGTATTAGACCAGAACTTCTAGTTTTATACTTTCTTTAGTTCAATTTTATTCAGACCTCTATGTAAGTATAAACCACTATTGATTTACGACCAAATATTTCTGAATTCTTTTTTACTACTCATAGTCTCATAGACTCTATTAAAAAAATAAACTTTACTTTATCCAAGAATTTACAAAGTTTAGTCAGTCACAGAAGTATAATGCAAAATACAATGTTTATACATGGTTGGAAAAAGTACAGGAATGCCTAGCTTGCGCAGAAGAAAGGGCGTGTCTTTACAGCCTGAAAAGGCCTAGAAAGCCTTTTAGTAACAAAGAAAGGGTTTAATGTTTCATGAAGGTTAAGACGTGGTTTAATCTGGATGTAAATATGAACCTAGGCAACAAAAAGGTTATTACTAGTTATTTCTAGTTATTTGATGAAGCACATATGATCGAATAGTTTACAAAGTTAAAAAAGGTATCAATGTTTTTTCAAAAAAGGGGTTTTTAAGGGGGAGTCACAATGTTACCAGGGGCACACATTTTGTGCGCTGACTCTTGCAAATAATGCCCCCCACCCCACACACAAATGCTCTCGTACGCCCATGGCTAAAAATATTTAAAAGTCGATTCCTTTCCTATACCGAGGAATAACGAGAATTCCTACTGGATAGGTTTACTACAAGCAGGTATAACATATGAATATGATAACCACCTGAATGAGAACCTTGGATACTTCCAATGGATGCGCAAGAACAGACATTCCGAGCTTGAAAGCAAGTCCAACAGGTATCTCCTGTGGTATTTCAAGCTTCTCCATTGCTATCTGAAACATTTAAGAAAGATGACGAAGAGTAAGTAATGCAGAAAACAAAGGTCAAGAGAAATCCAATAACAGATGAGGGAGAATTTTCTCAACATGTTCCGGCTTAAGAGTTGGAGAAGCTTCGGAGCTAGCCTGCAAGGATGCTCTGTGGGCAATCTGAAAATACTTCTTTAAAGCAATCATAATACAGTCTAAACTTGGATAAACAAATTAATTGTGAGTATATTATAATAGTTTCTTTTCATGTGAGGAGATATATTTATGTTTATACTTTTCTTAAATAATTAGATTTCTGTAGATAAATTAAGGATTAGGAAAAATTAAAATATAGTCCTTAAAATGTACGTTGTATTGTTGTACGCATTCTTCTATTACAAATACTTGCGGAATATATAGAAAATACATGCAATAAAAAAAGAAATTAATAAGTTTGTTGTCAAAAAAATATGTTTATTGTTAATTGAATATAAAGCCCGGTATCAAAGAAGAAATTTTAAACTGAGGGTTTATGAAATCCAAAAATAAAATGCTTAAGAAAATAACATTTTCATCGAAAAATACTAAACAAATCACTAATTTATTGTAAAAAGTCGGATTAAATTTTTACCTTTACAAATATTACTAAACCAAACCATCTGTACTATTTCATTCACAAGATTGATGTTCTTGCAAAATATCTGCATGATTTACCTCCATTGTGTATACTCGTATTATTTCAGATGTCAGAGCCAAAGATTCATTGCTGTACTTGGTTTTCTCATTTCTAAGGATTCGTGACAGGAATTAACATTTTTTTAACATTATCAAAACTCTGATAACACAAAATTCTATCGTCTTCTTTAAGCAATAGCTTGAGATAAAATTTCTTTAAAGTATCTTTTAAAATTTAAATTTTTAATTAATTAGATTAGATTAGATTAGATTAGATTAGATTAGATTAAATTAAATTAAATTAAATTAAATTGAAAAACACAGATTTCATCTAACAAGCAATGTACCTTGTAAATGATTCTATGTTTGGAATAAAGGTCGGGATATATCTTGTGTGTTGGATAGAACCAAGGAAACTAAAGTTAAGATAAATTTTTAGTGTTAGATAGAACCAAGGAATCTAAAGTCAGGAAAAATATTGATAGTTGGTTGGAATAAAAGAATCTATGGAATGCCTTGTTTTCCTGAAATAAAGCTTTGATATCTGTTCAATTGTCTGGTTAGAGAATTGAACAGGACGCTTCGCACCCTGCTCCATCTGTAATAAAAAGATGAGTCACCAATCTAACTATAAATATATATACATATTTTTTGCCTTTAAAGAATTAGAAAAATAAGGTTCAATCAAGATTCTTACCTGTCCTGACTAGTTGGTTCAAGATGCTAAATCGTTAAAAACGTTATCCCTTTTTCTCGTTCCACTGAGCAGGTGTTAGAGTTTTTTGACTGAATGCGTGTATTGTCTTTAACTCTTCCTCCAAAACAGAATTTACAAGTCTAAAAATAAGTATATTTCCCTAACTTTTTTAAATCAAATCAAATCAAATCAAATCAAATCAAATCAAATCAAATCAAATCAAATCAAATCAAATCAAATCAAATCAAATCAAATCAAATCTAGGGGACCCAGGATCACCGATTGGAACGTAGTGAATTTGATATGAAATGATTTTTTATCGTACATTGAAAATGTTAACAATTTAGTTTTTTAAGACATACTAGTTTACTCTCCGGAAAATTTAAAAAATGCAGCGCGCTTTTTCTGAAAAATTCTTTTTTTCACACTCATTTACGAGGTCAAAATCTATATTTGAGCATTCTGACCGGCGTGATATTAGCCAGCTGGGTACCTTCTGGACCGTCCTACCACAAATTTTACATGTTATATATCGCTTTATAGGTTTTTGAACCGGAGGATTATATTTTCATGGGTTCCCAAGCTAGTATAATAATAAATCAACCAAATTTACCTTGGTTAACTTTTCTTGTATATATTCCTCTGAAAATCCGCTCATAATATTTCTGAAAAAAATTGATTCTTAATTTCATCCAAATGGCTCAATTTTACAAATATAAGGCACGTTAGAAAAAGAATCAATAACACATATTTTCATGCTTTTATGTTTTAAAAAAATGTGTTAACTTAAAACACACAGGAAAGAAATAAATCAATATAGACTACTTCGTTAAATCTAAACCTGTCTTATTTAAAAAGCATTTTTTGCATTGAAATCTTATTTCATTTTTAATGCAATTAAACTTATTTCATGGTTAGAAATCACATTTTACAGGTTCCGAGCCATTAATTCTGGAACAAACTGAAAATGACCTTTGCAAAATTGCGTATCTGAAAACTTTGGAATAAGAATAAGTTTTCTCGGATAAAAAATATTAGGAGTTCACTCCACAGTTGGGTTAAAGCATATCCCATAGTTCTTGAGTAAAAACACTAAGAAACCCCATTCATCATTGAACCATTTGTTTGGTTTGAAGGCGGAGTAGGTCTAGAGCAGCAGGCTGGACAACTGTGAAGGGTTTCATGAATATATAGATCACACTCAACACAGTACAACTATAATAAAAATTACAATTAACATTGAATTAATGTATCTATCTATAATGAATCGCCGGCAGCCCCTAGAGGAAGCCGACAACCACCTCTCAGGCAACCCCGTTTGTATACGAATGTATACGGCCAGGGTTGAATGCTAGCATGACATTGTGCAATGACTTATGTCCCCGCAGGTGGGAGAACAAAACGCCAGGAGTTCAAATTGTTTTTTTTAAAGGTTTTTAAGGCTTTAATGGTTCCCAGCTAAGCTTGAAATCCATAAGCAGAATTACTCTCATAGGCATTAATAGTTCCCAACAAAGCTTGAGTTTCATAAGCAGAATAAAACCTCATAGGTTTTAATGGTTCCCAGCTAAACTAGGTTCCATAAGCAGAATATAATCTCATAGGCATTAATAGTTCCCAACAAAGCTTGAGTTTCATAAGCAGAATAAAACCTCATTGGCTTTAATGGTTCCCAACTAAGCTAGGTTCCATAAGCAGAATTTACTCTGATTGGCTACAATGGTTCCCAACTAAGCTAGGTTCCACAAGCAGAATTTACTCTGATTGGCTACAATGGTTCCCAGCTAAGCTAGGTTCCATAAGCAGAATATAATCTCATAGGCTTTAAATGGTTCCCAACTAAGCTAGGTTCCATAAGCAGAATTTACTCTGATTGGCTACAATGGTTCCCAGCTAAGCTAGGTTCCATAAGCAGAATTTACTCTGATTGGCTACAATGGTTCCCAGCTAAGCTAGGTTATATAAGCAGAATCTAATCTCATTGGCTTTAATGGTTCCCAGCTAAGCTAGGTTATATAAGCAGAATGTAATCTCAAAGCCTTTAGGCTGGAAGGAAACTAACTGAATTACCACACCATTATATATTTCTATATATAAAGCAATAATCAGAGAAGATTCTCAGTTTTCATCCATACAACAAAGATCTTCGCTCACATATATTTATTTATATATAAATATATATGTTAGTTATGACCGGCAAAACGACTGGACCGAATGGGCTGAAATTTATTTAGGGAACCCATGGTTACTTTTAGGGCAACACCGTAACATAGGCTAAATAAAATTAAAAAAATTTCGCGGATTTTCAAAATTTTCAAAAATTTAATGAAGATCGAATTTTGATGGAGACAAATATTTAAAATTTTAATCATTCATAAACCTTCCCTGGGGTCCCTAGATGTCCCACAAAAAAATTGGGCCCGATCGGTTCAGCCGTTTTGACGTTTATTGGATACAAACAAACAGACAAACAAACATATATAAATGAAGAGCTTAATTATTGTGCTCGAAAATCCATCCAAAATCCAATATAAACTCCTGCAAAGAAAGATGGATATGTTGTTATAAAATCTAGCGTTTGAATTAGTGTATAGGATCCGGATCCGTTGGATCCGCAAGATGTTGGCTTCCTGGATCCGGATCCGCAAAAATATGTGGATCCATGGATCCGGATCCAATGGGTAAAATATCAACCAAAAACTGCAAAAACAACTTTTTTACTCCTAAATCTGAATGGTTCATCAAAAGAATAAAATAAGCGAAAAAAATTTAAAAATTATTTTTTGTTAAAAAAATTCAGTAAATCTAAAAGAAATGACCTGGATCCGGATCCGGATTTGGATCCGGATCCATTTTTTTCAAGTGCGGATCCGGATCTGCATTAAAATTAAGTGGATCCTAAGCACTGATTTGAATAAATACATTTGTGTTCAACCTGATCGCATTGAGGACACTGATAAACAGCCTTGTCTTTATCTGGTTTGAACAGTTGACCACATCCATTGCACCAGCTTCTATCTGCAGGAACATTTCGGGGTTCAACTTCCTTAACAATATCATTAACATGAAAAATAGGAATATCTTCTTTCTGAGAGAAACCAAATCTTTTACCTTGAAAATAAGGAGAGGGAATAAATGATGATAAGATCTGGCCAGGTGAGGTGCTGAGACTAGAGTTAAGCCACAACCTCTACACTCAACAGGTAGTTCACAGTATCTAAATACTTTTGTTAAGATCACAATGAAACACCACAAAGTAGAAAAACATTTAATATGGAACTCTACAATAAAACCCACTATTTCTTCGGTCAGAGTACTACGAATGACTGCAAATCACAAAGAAAGCTTTGCTTTAGAATAAAAATTAGAAAAAAAGATGAAAAATTATTCTTTTGTTGAAAAAATTAGAAAATCTTGAATGGTTGAAGACCTGGATCAGGATTTAGGTCCATTTTTTACTGGATGAATCCAGTATCCGGATACGAATCCAGACACATCAAAATGAAATGGATTCTAAGCACTGCTTCCTGATAATTGATTTTGTGGAGAAATTACATAAGCTTAGTGGATAACAAAGGGGTGGGGGGGATATTAATAATAACTCAAGGATAAAATTGTACCTTGCTTGACATTGAGGGCAAATGTATCCTGATGATGTAATTTTTTCTCCTCCTGTATCCATGTGACACAAACACATTCCAAGGGCCCCATCCCCATCTTCTCTCCCTGCATGACTTGGAAACCCCATTCTGATCAGACTGGCTTGTTGTGCTATTAAACTAGGCGGAGGGTTTAGGTGCTCAGTGAGCAGGTCTCGCAGATGATGATCGTCTAAAATAACCGCATGCATTCCTCCGGTCCTAATCAAACGGACCACTAAAAAATGCAAATTGGATTTTAAACTTACTGAAATATATTTTTTAGACTCAATTGACCTAAAAATGGACTAAAACCGTCGGCTGGTTTTTATCCCCAGGAAAAAGTGTAAAGACTAATCTTTGGAACCATGTAGATTGTAGATATTCATTAAAAAATTCAGATTACTTAAGCCATCTTTATTAGATCTATTATTTTTGAGTCCGGCAGGACCATTTAAATAGTGAAGCGGGATCTACTAAATCACAATTTTAGTGGTAAACCAGAATTCTCTGTATTTTTTAAGATTTAAATCTCATGTAAGACTTTTAAAATATCTTACAGACGACGAAGTATTTCAAAATTCAAAGACAATTTTTTACTCGAACAGCAACATAATATTTTTGAATGTCTAACTTTTGAACATACAATTGTATTTGGGCTGAGTTTTACCCTAAACTTTATGATAGGATGAAAATATACTTGCAGCCTCCAATTATGTTCTACTACATTAACTTGGTGGACGAATTTGAAAGGGAGGTCAAGGAACTCTTTGAACCCATGAAAATGGGATACAGACACATTTTCAGCCCAAATCAACTATTCTTTACTTTTAAGAAATGCACAAACACCCTGTCTGTAAAGTCTCTTTCTCTTACATGACATCCTCTACAGTATGGTGCCTGTAAAGTCAAGATATAATAACGTCAACATTTTGTCATGCTAAGTAAAAACGCATAGATGCTATTGTGTTTTGATTCTTTTGTTAAGGTCCGTTTTGTATCTTGACGTTATTAATGTTTTAAACCTCTAATTATGACTAAACGGCGATCAACACTTCAAACATTGACAATATCTCAAGGAATCAAAGTAATAAATAATGGGTTTGTTCTTTTTTCCCAAGGATATTTTTTTCCTTCAGTATGTTTTAAACCTGTTCGAAACATAAAAATGTGTCGTTATGACAGAATCAAAGGTATTTTGGTGTTCCGATTCTAATCCGTTTCTGTATATTCTACCTCTAGATGTAAATATTTAGAAACATTGACACTGTGTCATGTAATTGTTATTTGATAAGAGGTTTTTGGTGGTCTGGTACCATAAAAGTAAAGTTTGAGTGATCGAAATTTACATCTGTAAATCTGGACCTTTTCACAGCTGATCCGTCTGCAGAGCTATCTAAGTCATCTATGTCGAATTAGAACCAACGAGAAGCCAACCTAAGGTTTTGAGTTTACGAATACTTAAGTTTATGTTAGGTCAGGATTTACTAATAAAATCTTAGCTCTGATAGTGTTTCTGATTTTGTTCAAAAGCACATTTTGCCATTATATATTTAAAATGTCATTAAACTCCAGAAATCAATCAACATCTGAGTCCTTAAAAATTCAGAGCCTCGAAAGGAAAATACTACACAGAAACCACTTAAATTTTATACTTACATGACAAATTTTCAATCTTTCTATGTTGACCTTCTGAGGTAAACCACATTTGAAGTTTTAAAGATTTTTAAAACATACAGTTCACAGAATATTCGGAGGAAATTTTGATTTACTTCAGTGATCTAATGGGAACTGGTTACACGCACTTAAAACCCCAATCCACGATTTATTTTTAAATTTAAGATTTAGGATTCCCTGCTTTAATCTTGTGATTTTAATGTGTCCATGAGATTATAAGAAAAAAATTACATGAGATTTATTCTTTAAGAAATTCTTGAAATTGAGCAAAAATAAGTTTTGTGACTTTCTCAAATAGCTTGATCAGAACCGTGATTCGAAAATAAATATTAGAAAAAGAAAATCCGTGAATATATGCATTAAGTTCTTTGGACATGCTTTCTGGATTCCCCCCCCCCCACACTTATCAGATCTCAACAGGCATTTTCGATTATGTTGCAAAATACATGGATCTGTAATTGTGTACAATGTGAGAAGAAATTTTCTAATAATAATATCAAAATTATCCCGTTGAGTTGCATTTTATTTCCTGGTTACTAGCTCACGATAAATTCTTACTTCTGCAGCAAGGTTTATCACAGAACATTTTATTTTTAGGTCATGTGCCTCTTGAATTGTTTTATTAATATCTCCCGGGTCACAAGTAGTTAGGCTGCCCATCAAAATTAATACTTCCCTAAAAAAAGAAAAGTTTTTCAAGTTTAAATTAACTTATTAAAACTTAATTCTGGTTAGCTTTGAGAAAGTTTTAAAATAAAATCACATAAATCAATAATAATATTCATAAAAATATTTCTTTTTTAATTTTAAAGTGTGTACATTTAGCTCGTCTTGGTACTAGTTTCTTAACGTGTCGTATTATGTACGCCGTACGTGAACAAATGAACTAACCAAGAGAACATTCCTGAGTTGAGAACTTTAGAATGGTGGATATCCAAAAAAGAGGATTAAGAAGAAAATCACATAAGTGTATATATTGGATAGTCAGATTAAGCGATCGGTGGCCGAATCTAAAGAATTTGAGCTGCGGTTTAAATTTAAGCCGCGGTTTAAATATGGTTGGTTCCACTTTAAAATTGTATCAAATGTTTCAAGATTTAAGCCGGCGCTAAATTTAAACCGGGTTTTGGCGGATTTTGGCGGATTTAAACCGAGGCTCAAATTCTTTAAATTCCATCTCAAGATTAAGGATATCCCATTTTAAAGTTTTCAGCTCTGAACTCTTTAGAGGATTATAAAACAATTCACACTACGTGTTTCCTGCTTCCACGCTATGATTGAAAACTAGCAGGAAAAAGTAGTAATTATAAACATCTACTTTAAAGATAATAAAATTGAGAATTTTGCGTTACCAGACCAGTTTTAACAAGAAATGTAAGAAATGTTTTCCAGGTCAAATTGGTTAATGAAACTCAAGGCTAAGTAAGACTTTTATTAATTCAGAAGAAACAGTTTCCATTTTTATTTTCATTAAAAATGAAGATCCCATCATTTAAAAAAAGATTATATAGAGAGGGATGTTGATTAAAATCCCAAGAGTCGATTGTAAGCAAGAACTATAAACAGGAACGCCCAACTCAGATATACGCAAATTGTGTACTATACAGTGTACACTGTGGGAGGAATGAATGTAAACAAACCCAAGTGCCCCCACAGAAGTTGAAGGGAAACGACTAAAGCTCTGAAGTGATATTACAGTCCATCAAAAAACAAGTTAATATATCAAGTTAGAGCAAATACTTATGATTTTTGGCTTTCTGGTCAATATGGAAAATACAATAGCAATATATTCTTATTCCACCCCTTGGGCCCTTTTCCCTAAAAAATGATGCGTTGCCCCTGAATTCTTTGTTTTGATCTCCTCCCACTGCAGTACACAGAATTGACGCATGAGATATGGCGGTTCCTCGTCTATAAATTTCTTGGTTGTAAGTATCGTAATAACCCCCTAGGTAGAGACTATTTTTGAGAGAATCATTTGGTGTTTGTCAAACTTAAAAGATTGTAACATATCACAATTACTGACAAATTATACCTGCTTGTGTGTGAGGGCATATTTTTCAAAGATTGTATCACAAGGTCCAAAGAATTCTGAAGGGATGGTTCTCCAGAGCAAGGTTTATCTTTTAAGCTCTTTAAAGCCTCTATATGTTTTCGCGGGTTGCCTTAAAGAAAGTTTCAGTTTTCCTTCTTTCGATAACTGTTAGAAACAGTGTGGAAATTTTGTATTGGAATATCGACTCAACGAGTCTCGATCTTTTGTTAATCTGTAGATTAATTTAATCTTGAAATGATATTCGTATCGTGGAGGAAAAACTAAAATGAAGAGATTAAGGATTGATGTGTCCGTAGTGGGTATTGAGATCAAGCGATCGGGATTATGAGTACCCAAAACGAAAGTTCCCAACTTAGGTCAAATATAAAATAAATACAAATTTAAGATTAATGCAGTATAAGGATCCGGATTAATTGGATCACCGAATCTGAGCACAATGAATCCAGATCCTAGCAAAATTAATACCAAATTAGAGAGAAAAAAAAATTTTGCTCTCAAACCAAAAAGAATTTAGCAAAACTTTAAGAAATATTCGTGAGATGGATCCATATTATTTCTAATCGCCACAAAAATTTCAAATTCAGCATTAAATTCTCCAAAGATAAATGTTACCAAATCAATGTAAAAATTGTAAAGAAAAAAATTATTCAAAAAAATATTGTTGTTCCAAAGAGACGCCCGAGTCAGGAACTTTAGTCACACCAGCTTTTATGCAATTAAACCCGGAAAATTAAGAGCGATAAAAATTGCAATTTTCCCCCCTGATGTCAAAATAAATATGAAATATCATTAGACCCATTATTTTCCAGATAAAAATGTGACACCAATCACGCGAAAGTAGTCGGGAACTAAAAAACTTCTAAATTAAAAATAAAACGGACCAAGTGAGACAACCGAATTTCTTACCTGTCATATCTGACACCTTCTCAGCTCTTTTATTACTTGATGTAACTAAACCGATTTGACTTATAGGATTCAAATAAAAATATTCTTCGATAAACTTCTCCAAAAGTTTCAGGCAACACAACCACCTAAACAAAAATACAAAAATAGAACAATCTTAAGTTTGAAGGCTAAGTCGCGATACCTGGTTGGTTTTATATCCTGAGCTTTCATGCTTTCCGACATATCTAAGATAATGTACAGATGCCTCATCATGCCAAGCTTAGTTTTGCCTTGCCTTTCAGCCAATCTTCTCCGCCGAGCCTTCTGGATGATATCCTAAAATACAAAATGATAATAAGGCAGTTTTTTAACATCAAATATCTGCTAAAAAATTGCCTTACGATCTAATGGCACAAACAAATTTTTATTTCAGATTTAAATATCCTCTGATGCTTAGCTTTTTCTGATTGATTTTAGAGCCTTAAGTTTTAAACCGATTTTCGTTTAATTAAACGTTTATTAATATTTATTTTAAGATTCTGATTTAATGGTGCAAACTTTTTATAATGTTCGTAGCAAATGAAATTGTTTTCAGTCGATTTTTTGATCCCACGGCAAACCGGGGCACTTGAGCTAGTGTCCGATAAGAACGAAAATCAGTTGAACATTTTTGATCTGTCATTACAGGTGACATTAGTTCCAAAACTAAGAATTGGCCCATTTTTAACACTGAGTGTTAAAAATGGGCACAAATTGAAAGACTGGGTTTTTGGGATCCCGGCCAATATCCAGAGTAAAAGTGGATAGTAAAACTACATTTTGTTAAACATGACGAGGACAACAATTCCCAATTTTAAACTTTTTTTTAAATCAAAATTAAAAGGAGTTCCTTTAATATTAAAGCTCTTGACCGTTTAAGACAATGTTAGGTTTCCATTTTCGAACATATCCTGAATTTGAAACATTGTCGCGTTTTCAAGACAAAACCCACTTTCCCGTTTTTGAGTATAATCCACAATTCAAAACAAAACTCACTTTCATAACTTACAAAAAAAATCACTGAAAACAAAAATTATCTTATGAAGACTAAATTAACTTCTGAATTATTTCTAGAATCTAAGTTTCCACATTTTATCTGTTAAATTGGAGAATATTGATGATTTATTTTCGAGCATTTTAAACAAACACTTTCCCGCATTTCTTATTTAATCTATATTGTTAGAACAAACGATATTAATATTTTGATTTCTAAATGCCGATGATTTTTTATTTTCTCTTTGTTTATATTTTACCTCATCAAAAAATCTTGTTTGTTTCATAAGTGCGTAAATACTTGAAAATTGACATTGAATTCCGATAATTGTCTCAAAACCAGGATATGTTCCGAAAACGCGACATGTGCTGAAATCCGGTAATTGTCTCAAAACCAGGATATGTTCCGAAAACGCGACATGAGCTGAAATCCGGTAATTGTTTCAAAATAGGGATATGTTCGAAAATGAAATCAAGAATCATCAAAAACTAATAAACTATTTTATAAATATATGGTGTAATTTTGTTCTACTCGTCTTGAATTTAAAGATATATACTCTTGAAAAAGATAACTTTGCAGATTTGGCCCATTTCTAATACTCAGTGTTAAAAATGGGCCAAGTGTTTGTTTTAGAACGAATATCCCCTGCATTAGGTACTGTTAACTATCATAATAATGATATTTTATTATTAACCCTAAATAAGATCTTGCAACTTTTAAAGAGCATAAAAAAAAATTTACTGACTAGATTACTCCTTAATGTGACACTAGCAAAAATTATTTTTAAAAAATTTCTTAAACAAAAAAAATCAAAAAAATCTGTTAGCCTATGTTATCCCTGGAATACCCATGGGTACCTTTAATAATTTCAGCTAACATATAACACATTTATATATAATAATTATAATAACTATAAAGAAATAATAAGGGCAGCTTCTCAGTTTTCATATTTATTAATACTAATTGTTTTAGATTGCTCCTCTTCAGTTAATAAACATGGTTTTATATAATAAATATGAGCTAAGAGTTTTATTTTGCAGGAAAGCGTTAGCTTTACTTAAGTATTAGGGTAAAAGGGGTTCTATTTAGATCGTTTTCGCGAATTTTTGCTTTTATTTTTATCAAATCAATTACAAGTTAGATTTAAGTTGTTTGTGCTTTCCTGACCCATTAGCTAAGGCTGAGGTTAATGATTCTTGTATAGATTGTACCTGTACAGATACATCGAGCATACCATCCTTATCTTCTTGAATACTTTCCCACGTTTTTTCATACCCTCCCTCCCATCTGTACTCATTTCCATCTTCACCCGTTCCGTCCATAATTCTGCAATATTCCCATACAATAATCCAGGAAATAAAACAGAAATTATTGTGGATTTAATTTTAATGCTCTGAATAAGAACAACCGAGATGCGAATCGGTGACAGTTCCCATCAAATTGCATGTATCACACTAAATGAATATAAGAACCTTTATACTTCTGTTTAAAGAAACCGTAAAGGAAGTTATTTATCAAAGATTACAAATGGTAAAGTTTTCTCTGCTCCGATGATATGGTAGACGGAGCTCCCGCCATTATGTCGCGACCATCTCCGCTCTTCGGAAAGGCAATAACATCTCGGATAGAATCTGCTTTGGTCAGAATTGCAACCAGACGATCCAATCCTGGAAACATTTCTTGCTTAGAAATTCATATATATTTTGAATGAAAAAACTAACACTTTTTTCTTTCGAGTTTGTTACAAAGTTTTAGTAAAATCGATTTCAGGATATTAGAATTCGGAGAAAATAAATACACTTAGTCGTTTGCTAAATTAAATTTTCCTTTTCATCGTTCGGTTGAAAAAAAATGTGTGTCACTAAATGGTTAACTGACTTTAAGGGACGTCCTACTTTCACACTTCAAATTCAAGATGGCTATACTAAATTGTAACGGTTCAAGTTAACTGATTTTTAAAATAAAATTTATATCATAAAATTCAATTGTAAAAATATATTCACTTGTTCCTAAGAATACTGAAAGAAAAAAGAATTTGTAGGACAAAATTTTTTAATTTACAGAATGCAGTCGAGCAGTAGTATGCTTTTGAGACTCGGTAGTTTGATTAAAGTGTCCAATGGAAGGCTTAAAGTTTTAAGTAAATGGTTAATTTTTTACCTAGAGCTATGCCGGCGTGAGGAGGGCAGCCCGAGTCTAGACCCTGAAGAAGATGGTTTAACTCAGTTGAGTCTTCCTTCAGAATTGATTCCAAGACGTACTTTTGATCTAAACCAGAATGGATTCTTACACTTCCTCCGCCGATTTCCTGAAAAATAGTATTTTCTGACCTGGCCATTCGATACTTTTTCATGGGCGTTAAGGTGGAAGATCTACTTAAACCCAATTTCAGATTTTAACTTTCACTGCCATAGAAAATAGTAAGCTTTGACAATTTAAAACCCAACCCTCCTTTAGAAAGTGTCATCAAAGGCAGAGCCAAAATGAACCATTTTTATCTAGAAATTCAATATTTCTGAACGCAACCCTCTTGGATTTCATTTGTTAAAATCAAAGTGTTTGGTAATCATGAATTTCTAGGCGCTCTTTTCGATAAAAAGGGAATGTTATGGTTCAAAATAATTAAATAATATTGTTTTTGACAAATAAACTACTACTTTAGAAAGGGGGGGGGGGTGTGTTACTGTTCAGTGATATTAAATTTCTCGGTACCCCTTTTAAGAATAATGACTCTGAAAAACAAGGAGGGGGTGTTAAATTATATTGAATTTTAAGGCGCCCCTTTTAAAAAGATGGTGCATTTTGAATCTTTAAGTCTTTGAAGAAGCTTCCTAAAGAATGGATAGGTTTAAAATTGTCAAAGTTTAGTATTGTCTATGATACTGTAAATTAAAATCTGAAATTGAGTTAAAAAATTAATTTTTCTCTTGACGCCCTGAAAAAGTATTTTTAACAAATAATTCAATAGAATATTAAATGTTTTTATAACTTTACTTGCTTTCCCTTTCGTGATTTTACATTACATTAATTCTTTTTCATTTTCAGGAGTCTGATGTGGATCAAACGGTACCCCTTACCGTTGGCTTTATCTTTGTTATGCTTTTATGTCATGGCCCAACATTCTGACAGACCTAAACCCATGAAAACAAGAACGACATATATTGACAATATCTATCTGTTAGCCTAACTAAACCCCTGATGATGGATTGTATGAATTATTTACCTGTCCATTTAGAACAAGATCATAATGAAGAGAACGAGCTTTCAATGGGTCAGTTCTAAATATACAGTAATGTTAAAAAGTTTAATTGCATGTACTTGTACATCTCGCCTAGTCAAAGCTGTCTGCAAAAATCCAATCAGACTGTTAGGGCTGTCCTGCCGAACACACTCCAAAATTGAGATGACTTTATTAAATTATAAATGAAGAGAGGTATCATAGTTTGGAAGAGTTTTTTCTGCAAATTGTGGAAAATTGAGATTCTGATAAAAAAAGAACATCTAGCATTCGAATGTCTAAAATACGTAGGAAGAAAGTTCCTAACCGTGATTTGGCTGAGACCTGAGCCTACATTTTAACATTAGTTCACTAGAAATCTACTCGATAATGATATTTTTTTAGAACATAACACATTTTCGACAGTGAATACACTTTAGACACAAAACATATATTGGAACATCAATACTAGTGGGTTTGAGATATTTCACAGATATGAATCATTGATGCTTTATTTATACAAATAAGTAAGAATAAAAGTTTTTAGAATCAGAAATTATTAAGACAATAAAAATGTAAAAATTAAATATTTTTAAATAACATGAAGATTTGAAACCAATATAAAAATAATAATATTAATATTCTATTGATATAGCAATTAAAGCAAACATAGAAATGTGGAAACTGTCTTTATTCCATTTTTTAAGTATAAAAGAAGACATTTCCAAAAATGCTCCGACGCAGAATTTCTTCTAGAATTTTTTAGCTCAAGACATCCAAAAAAAAAGTCTAACGAGAAAACAGCTTCTTAAAATAGCCGAGACGTTAACTTTAATCATGCTAAAATAGTATCCAGCTATTCATTATATTTTGGGAATAATGAAAATGTGTTTTATTTGAATTATTAAATCCTCAAATTATTTATGGTTTATGGTCCAAAACTAGTCAAAAATTCAAATTTACAAAAATAAAGGATTTTTAAAAGTTTAAATTTTGAGAAGAAATTGATTATGATTCTTTGAATTGTTATGCTTTATTAGATGTTAGAAATAGTTTATCTAAATAAAATTTGTCCTGAACACCGAAAGTGTTTCTAAAACGTTAAGCATAACATTTGTGGCAAAACTTGACACACAGTGCCAAGTTTGGACCATAAGAACGGTTCGGAACTTTTTTTGGTTGTTAATAGAAAAAAAACATATATTTGTTTCATCAACATTCAAACATATTTCAAAATTTATTTAAATGTTACCAATCAAATATATACTTCAAGGTTTAAAAAAAAGTTATCTTTATTTTTGAATAAAAATGAAGTTTATCTGCATATACATTTAATAGGGATCACTTTATCAGTTGGATCCGCAACATTTTGGTTTCCTGGATCCAGATCCGGATTCGCAAAACTATGCGATCCAAAAACTCGGATCCAAGGGGAAAAACATCAACCAAAAATAGTTTCTTTAAAATTTTTTTTCTTAGAAGCCAAAACTGAACTGTTGAGTAAAAGGGAGATTTTCCTTATCTCTGAATGGTTCCTTCAGTTTTAGCATAAAAAGAAGCGAAAAAAAAAATAGAAAAATAATTAGAAAATTCTTCTTTTGTTAAACAAATCAGTAAATCTTTTTTAAAAGTTAATGACATCAAAATAAAATGGATCCTCAATAGTTTATCGCGTTTATATCACAGCAGGACTTAATTTGAAAATTTATAACAACTAGCCTTAGAGGGCGCTTCGCGCCCATCTTCTAAATTAGTTGTGAACATGTTCTCTTTGTGTACATCGTAAAACAAAACAAAAATAATTCAGTGGATTTTCACAAAAAATTCGTGGATTTTCAAAATTTTCAAAAATTTAATTAAGATCGAATTTTGATGGAGACAAATATTTGAAATTTTGATCATTCATAAACCTTCCCTGTGGTCCGTTGATTTCCCACAAAAAATTTGGGCCCGATCGGTTCAGCCGTTTTGACGTTTATTGGATAAAAACAAACAGACAAACAAACAAACAGACAGACAAGCCAAATTTATATATAGATTTCAACTAATTCGAGTTTTGTGCTTAAAAAATAAACTTAATTAGATAGAAGGTGGTAGATAATATTTAAACAAGATTCATTATCCTCAGATTAGGCTGAGGGATCCGGAAATAAACTTAATTAGATAGAAGGTGGTAGATAATATTTAAACAAGATTCATTATCCTCAGATTAGGCTGAGGGATCCGGAAATAAACTTAATTAGATGGTGGTAGATAATATTTAAACAAGATTCATTATCCTCAGATTAGGCTGAGGGATCCGGAAAGCCCAAACGACTTAATATCACCTAAAATTGATTTGGGAAAAGTCATCGCCAGAGTTCGCGAAAATGACTTAAATAATTCAATTTTACCTATACTATAGTAAAGCTAACGCTTTTCTGGATAATCCATTTCTAGAATAAACCGAATAAAAGCGATATACTTATTAAAACAGTCCGCCATTTCTTGATTACTTTAGTACTTTATTATTAACTTCTATTTCAGATAAAGAGTAGATAGTTTTACTGGAAATATTTGCCTTAGTTGCACTTTTTTGTTTAATTTCCTTTTTGTTTGTTCTGCAAGTTTATTGTTCAGGTTCCTAAATTCTACATATTAAGTATAAACTTTTTTTTTAATCTTTTTGTAAATGATGTATTTTTCTATACGAGATTTAAGCAAACTTGGCGTCATAAATGTAAATATTATTATTAAAGGACAACCCACCATTCAATGAACATGAATAATGTTCTTTTTAATTGTAGTAACTGGGAAGATTTCATTTAACTTTACATTAATAATGTTCCAGAACACATCATAACACTGATTTGGATCTTCATTTTCAAACATCTATTAGAATAAACCGATTAAATTTTTACAACTGCACTACAGCTGTTTTCAAAGCATTTGGTCCAGTACAGTGGTAAGAAAAATATCTTTCAACCAAATTTCTGTAAGTAGTTGAACTTGAAAGTTATCACAACCCCTAAAACTAGTCGGCCTATTTATGGTAAATCGATTAACTTGCATTTAAATTTCGATTAAAAACTACCTAAACAGATGAATATCTTCTGGGTGTGGTGCAGTAAACGGGTGGTGAGCTGACTCAAGTTGACCGTCCTCCCAGGTAAATAGAGGAAAGTCCAAGACCCATAAAATCTTATCGTTCCTCTTTTCAAGATCCGGTATCAGGGACCGAGACAGTAATACTCTTAACAATCAAAAATATGTAGAACCAACCTTAGTGTGAATTGAATACAAAATAAATTAACTGTGTACATTGTAAATTTCCCATTTTTTCACGAAAGATACTTTGCATAGATAAGAAATAAAAAAAAATGATCAACCATCGTTCCGTAGAAGTCAGAACTAAGCTCTCATCTAACCGCATCACAACTATGGTTAAAAGAATGTCACAATAATGAAGAAAAAATCTAGAGTGATATTAACAACCTATGAATAGACTACTATTAACAATTAGTTTTACCTTTTTTTTCCAAGCACCGGAAGAACAAAATCTTTAGGCCCAAAAACTATGAATCCAGCTCCATTTCGAATATTTAAGAAGGATATTAATTTGTCTTCAACTTCTTGACCGCATTTCCTGATTACACTATTTTTTAGCTTTCCATTGTCTATGGAGAGGGGCGAAACAATATTTAATGGTTGGCTAGAAAAAGAGAGAAAAAGGTGCTGCAACTGATCTCTGGTTTCTTTCTCCGCATTTTTCAGTAGCTTATTTTTATTCTTGTCATCGGTTTCAAATAAAAGGATTCCTGCCATCATATCTCCACCTAGTAAAGTCAAGATGAATTATTATTTTGAATACAGATAACAAACAAAATGAAATAACAATAGTTTGATATATCCCTATTCCTAAAATGTGTAAAAAGATCAAAACTTAAATTATTACCTAGATGTTGATCAAGAACATCAAATCCTGACTCAGAGAAAAGGTTTGTAACATCTTGAATTTTGTTTTCAAACCTTAACATTAATTCTGTGTTCAATTGCAAATTCATTTTTTCTATGCCGTACCTTTTAATGTTTTACAGTTCAAATATTTAAAAAAAAAACGGATTTTGAAGTATTACCCCCCCCCCCCATCCTCTCTCTCTGTATGATGGGTTAAATATTAAAGATGGGGGGGGGGGATTCACGTATTTTCCCTAATTCCGCGAAAAAACTGAACTGAGGATAAGATTTTTCAAGAATATAAACCCTTGCAATCACAACCCTTCGTGGCCCCGGGTTATTTTGTTAACCTGAGGTCCGGTTTATCAACTCCATACTGTTCCATGCACTGTTGGTAAGTAATACGCATAAAGGGCGTCTCCAGGGATTCCGGCCATGCCACTTTTAAAAGCTGTTCGGTAAGATTAAAAATCTCTTCACGGCCAGCAAAGGACATTTCAATGTCAACCTGGAATTAGATATACAATATACATACATAAGTACAAATACCAGCATCAAGATTTAAGTGCTTAGATGATAACTGTAGAACTTAAGTTATTAATATCCAAACTCAGCTCGGAAAGATCTTTGTGGAAAGAGGTAGAAAGTTAGGTGAATGATGACTTTAAATTTTATTTCTGTACAATTTAAATGAAGTTTTCCAATAAAACTAAAGCAAAAATGCACTCAACATCTTTAAACTAATGAGGAGAAATCTATTTACAATTTTTATGGAATTTTGTGTTTCTCATCGCTTCCTACAAAATTATTACGATTTTTTGAACTTTGAATCACCCAGAACGAAAATTTTCTTGACCCCCCTTTTTTTAAAACTTTGGGTATGGTGGAAATGGTAACAATAAGTCGGGATTGATTATTTGTCTGTTCAGGAATATATTGTTTCTTGAAATTCATTATTTGTAATTTTTTTTACTAGGTTTAACTATTTGAAAAAATTATCGAGTAATATTTATTCATCATTTATATTTGTATGAAGCAAAAACACATTAATTAAACACCATAAAAGTTTACAATTTAATACTAATACTATTTTCTCTGGATATCGCATTTTATGATCGACAGGGTTTGCCAAAAAGCATGAGTTCAGTTTAGTTATTCAGAGATGGTTTTCAGAAATGGAGTCTAGCGTTTTTCATTTTCTACAAATGTGGTATGATGACAGCACTACAAGGCTTGATAGATTTTCGCACATTGCTTTGAAAACTAACACTGGGTTTGCAGAACTAATGCAGATAGATTTGCTTTATTTTATGGTGAAATATATCCTCTTGAGTCGATTTCAAAAGGGTGAACAGACACATCCCTAGTTATTATATCTGTGATAAAATGTTCATACTTGTTAATCTTTTGAGTGTTGGCATTTTTGATATTAGTTTCCAATGGGACAGAAGTAAGCTCAAAAATATCCATCTTTTCCTCCATTCTATCGATAACTACTAGAGCACAAGGAGGTGGGGGGGGGGGGAACAGTACCTCCCCCTGGAAGGGTATGGGACGGGATGTCGGCATACATAAGAAATCGGTCAATATCAATTAATCCAGTGATATATATAAAAAGATTGTTGTGCCTCCAAGTATATCTTTTTTTGGTGTAGTGCAACCTTGCAGCCATTTAAAATATGGTTTTTATTTTCTTGTCTTTTACCCTGCAATTCAGCGCCTGCCTGTAAACATGGTTTACAGAGATCTGATGTAGACTTTCCCAATGTTGGTTTGTGTTGGCAGGGTGTCCAAACAGAAGTTGAGTCTTTCATCAGATTGAACATGTAAGATTTCCAGATCATGTCAGATTTTTCAAGCATTGCCAGGCAGAGAAAATGTCCTTGTTTTATGAGTGTTTCTGTATGTTCTCTCTAGAAAGTTTCATTTTCAAAAGATACTTTTTCACTGACAGTTGTTTTCATTTTTTTGAAACAGTTTTTCTGCATAGTCTGTGATGGAATTTTTGCGGAGCCAATTTTTTTCCCTGTCTACTTTAGATTGTAAGGCAGAGTTTACTGTTTCATCACCCAGTATTCTTATCCTAGTGTATCCTAGTGTATTGAGTAATTTGTATTCTTTTATCATATTTGTTATGAAGTTGTGCGCGGAGCGCGAAAAATTTTCAACACGTTTTTATGCTACAGTACAACTATTGAGGAAAATTATTTATGAAAAACTCTTATTTTAGTTAAAGTTATGTGGATATGTAGCACTTCCCTGTCCCTTCCGTAGTTTCCTATATTCCTATTTCCCTCTCAACCTTCTTCTTTTCCTCTCAAACTTTTTCCTTCCGTCTCAACCTTTCCCTTCCCTCCTAACCTTCCCCGTTCCCTACATTTTGTCTTCCCTACCTATCTTGTTCCCTACCTATCTCCTTCCCTACTTATCTCTATCCCTACTGATCTCCTTCCCTACCTATTCCTTACCTACCTATCCACTTCCCTACCTATCCACTTCCCTTCCTTCCCCCTCCCAACCCTTCCCCGTCCTTACCCTTCCCGGTTTCCCCTTCCCTACCTTTCCCCCTTCCCCATCCTTCCCTTTCTTCCACTGTTACCCTTCCCATTTTCCTTTCCCTTTTCCTTCCTCTTTTCTTTCCCCTTTTCTTTTCCCTTTTCTTTTCCCTTATCTTTTCCCTTTTCTTTTCCCTTTTCTTTTCCCTTTTCTTTTCTCTTTTCTTTTCTCTTTTCTTTCCCCTTTTCTTTTCCCTTTTCTTTTCCCTTATCTTTTCCTCTTTTCTTTTCCCTTTTCTTTTCCCTTTTCTTTTCCCTTTTCTTTTCTCTTTTCTCTTTTCTTTTCTCTTTTCTTTTCTCTTTTCTCTTTTCTTTTCTTTTCTCTTTTCTTTTCTCTTTTCTTTTCTCTTTTCTTTTTCCCTTTTCTTTTTCCCTTTTCTTTTTCCCTTTTCTTTTTCCCTTTTCTTTTTCCCTTTTCTTTTTCCCTTTTCTTTTCCCTTTTCTTTTTTCCCTTTTCTTTTTTCCCTTTTCTTTTTTCCCTTTTCTTTTATCCCTTTTCTTTTTTCCCTTTTCTTTTTTCCCTTTTCTTTTTTCCCTTTTCTTTTTTCCCTTTTCTTTTTTCCCTTTTCTCCATGGGGTGGGGGAAAAAAATTTATACACCCCTGTTCTCTATTCCAGTAAAATTGAGATGGGAAGCTAAAACTTTGCTATGCAGTCTCACTATTTAATCATCTACACAAATTTAGAAAATTTTCAAGATCGGTGTTTTGTTTAAAATTACTATGCGCAGAAAATTGAAAGAAAATGCAGGAAATAGTTATGATTATTGGATGAAACGAGAAATATGATATACTCTTGTTTCACTATCCATGCAGACATGCAGCATATTTCCCGTCTTAGCTAAATGGTTAACGGTCCAAATAAAATGTGTATTAACCTGTCAATTCCCGCAACCATCAGAAGTTGTTTAAACTGTTGCGGGCTCTGTACTAAAGAGTAGAAATGGTCCTAAAATAAAAAAATATTTGTAAAAAAATATTGTCATACCACGACAAGTAGAACAACCCAACAAGAACCATCTCTTTTTTTGTGAAACTTATAACTTTTTTTAAATAACAATTAAATACTAAAGGAGTGAGTCAAATAGAAACGTTTATTCGAAAAAAAGTTATTCTAGTTTTTAATTTAGATTATTTTGGTTTTTAAAACTTTATTTTTTTGTTCTATTCCAAATAAAAATTTTAGTTCTAGCGAGTGCAGCACTTTACTCAGTAGGCATTTGGGTTTTTGGTGATCTTTTAGTTCATTCAGTAAACGAACTAGAAAATGATTTCTTTATTTCTAATTCCGCAGATGTGAAAATTAATCTCACTCTGGGGTATATATTTTTAAGAATTACAGCCCGGAGGGGGGTTGATTTAGATACTAAGATGTAAAAAATTGGAAATCGACATCTGCAAATCCTTTTTAAAAATTCATTTATTTTCCAAAATACACCTGTCTAGGAATGATCCGCCCCTCTTATCATTCACCTCACCCCCCCCCCCCGACTAGGGCTGGGCACGTTTTCGAAATTTTTTAAACCGTTCCTTTGCGGAACAAACAGCCTCATTAATTGGCCGTTCGTTTGTATAATAATAGTTTGTTCTGTTCCATTTAAGATTTTTCATGGCGTGAAAAAAACGGTTGTTCAGTTCATTTCTGGAATGTTTTGATTTTTTTTGTTTTTGTTTAAATACTAGCCTATTCAAAGATAGGTTAGTTTAAGAAGGTAAGAAGACGAAATTTTTTACATTTATTTAATTCCCTGACTTAGGGTTGAACAACTTAGGACCAAATGGGCAAAAATTAGACAAAGGGGAAACGAAAAACTAGTGTACGGACATATTCTATTTAGGTTAGGTTCAGACAATATATGGGCCAAGCACCATGACTCGGACATGTTAGGGGAACGAGCGATGCAGCCAATGCATTAATAATCAAATATTATTAGCCCATATTCTAGGTTGGGCCAGTTCCTAGGCCGAGCGTTGTGGCTATGACAGGGTAGAAAATAATTATTTCTCAGTGATTTATATGCTTTTCCAGTTTGTCGCACTTTTTGAGCAAATGTTGTTTTAACCATGGTAGCGTTATTGTAAAATATGCACCAATGCAGGAGAAGACGACTTGGTACATACAAGAAGTTCCGTAACGAAAGACGCAAGATTGAACAAGGAGGACGCATAATCCTCCTTATATGTCAAGAATTTAATAATCTGTAAATAGCAAAATATTTACTCTTATTATTCATTTTTAATTTTCACTTAAACATATTTAATCACTATAGGCCTTGTTTTATCTTCATAATCATTTGAGAAAGAAACTTTTTATATTCAAGACCAAAAAACCTTTTAAATAATTTTCTATGCATCTAGAAAAGTTACCAAACCTTTTTCTAATTAAAATCTGAAGGTTTCAGATATAATGAATGGCGAGTTGTAAATGAGATTTCCACGAGATGTGGGAGGGATGTTTTACCCCCCAACACTGTGCTACTGTCAATCATCATAGGTACATTTTTATACATGTTAAAATTGTTAACAAGCTTGCATTAAAGAAAAATTGATTAATACGAAAAATTAACAATTGTTTCGTCTAGATCTGAAGTCATAGCAACTGTGGTAGAGAACTTTACATTCTTGCAGTCTCTGTAGAAATTTTAGGTAAATAAACAAATTCCCTAAAATGTCTACATAAAGTGAACATAAATGAATAATGCACTTTTTTATGGCGATTCTATATTCGTACATGTATAATAATTGATTGTTTATCTAACGTCACCATGTTTTTGACGTCGATATGAAGCAAGCGTGTAAACCTGTGAAATGACTATCTCTATTGTAACTGGATTATGTCCGTAATGTGAGTACAGTACCTATTATTTAAAATTCTTAAAGCCACGCCTTATAATCAGCTTTTACTATTGGATCTTGACTTTTGTTTTTTTGTTTTTACAATTATATTAAAATTATTTTTTAAAACAAAATTGTAAGTGGTAAAACAACCTTTTTTTGAGTAGGAACAATGAATTCTTTAGCTCCCCCTGGAGTTCTACGGAACAGAGTAGGAGTTTCCACATCCAGAAATTGTTCCCGGATCAAAAACTGTCGCATTTTCATGACAAGGTCGGAACGGAACTTCAGTTTTTGTTGTAAACTGCTTCGACGAAGATCTAAGTATCTGAATTGCAGGCGCAATTCCTCCTAAATAATCAAGGTTAATCTTTTTTTCTTCGAGTACAGAAAACAGAAAACAAAAATTTAAGTTGACTTACTAACATTGATCTTTACTGAATATGAACTATCTCACCTTAGGAATCAGATGCGGGTTTTGTTGAAATGGGAGGTCGGATTTTGCTGGCGAAACATTGAGAACTTTCTGGACCTCCACCTCAATACTTCCAGTGTTCATATCAGGATTCTGTTGATTTTCAGGTCTAAGACGAACCACTCCAGATAAAGTGACAACGGACTCATTACGAACTTTTATCAAATCTGAGAAGGAGGATGATTTAGGTATGAATATTTGACATAAGCCTGTTCTATCCCGAAGAATGAGGAATCTATCCATCCTAACAAACATAAAAGTAAAACTCGTTAATGTTACAAAATGTTAGTATTAAAATAAAATAATAGAAGACAGGACCTTGACGATATTTGATGTTTAGGTAACTAAAAAGAAATGTCCGTTACAAATTGTCCCGCGAAACATGACAAGACGACTTGATAAACGTAATAACAAATCATATATCATCCTGGCCAGACTATACGAAATAAGCATTGAATAAAGTATTACCTACTGCATTGAACCCAGCCCGAAATAGTTACTATTTCTCCAACATTTTGTTCTCCAATCTCTCCACAGTAATGTGACCTAATGTCAGTTTTACAATTACAATTTTAATCATGCCTGTCAACAACAAGAAAGACATTTTTCAATGTTCTTGCAACCCCCCCCCCCCCCCCCCCCCCCATTCAAGGAATACTGTAACTGTGTACTAATATGCACACCAGTCACCAAAATTGCTTTATACATAATAATCTAAAGCTAAATCAGACTGTTTACAAAACTTTCCCTTTCATCTACACAAAAATCCAAATGTTAGACGTAGTATCATAAAATATTTAACTGAAGTAACTAAGAAATAAAAAACTGCTCAATTTTTTTATACCTGGAAGAAAATGAGACATTTCTTGCAGATTGCAGCCTAGTGTAACCGATGTGTTTCACAAACAAACTATTTCCATCATTCATGGTCATAGCTTTAGAATTGGTCTTCAAATTAAGGAGATGCATCTCGGAGGATCGAGAAGTTAAAACAGCATTTAATTGAACTGTACACTGATGTATATATCTATTTCTAAATTTAAATAATTTATCACTAATTTTAGTTCTAAGAAGTAGAGGAATACCCGCCATGATCCAAGAGCTGAAAAAAGTACAAGTTAAGATTTAAAATGAAATTCCCTTTTATTTGGATTAAAAAGGAAAAAAGCGTTAACATCTTAATCAAAATTTGTTATTATTAAATTTTTAAGGGAATTTATTATACCTTGAGTAACTCCCGTTAAAATTTCTGGAAAAAGTAACTTTATCACCAGCCTAGCTAATAAAATTTCATATCTCACACCTAATATTTTCCGTTGTCGGGTGATAAAGTTACTTGATCGACCTGCTAATAAATAAGGTTAGAATTGATTAAAACTACATGTTATTGTAATTAGTATCATGCGTTCAAAAAAAGATTTTGCCAGAATTTTTACTCTTTAAAATCCATGTAAAAACTTTTTCTTACTTAATATTAACCATTACAATGAAATAAAATAGATAAAGCGACACACGTCATTGTCACCCTACTCTATCAGCGCCGGTGTTTACTTAAAGAGACATAAACGGACCGGCATGTAGAAAAACAATATACTTTTTGTCCTGTTTGGAGACAACTCAATTTTCTTTCTTATTTTGCATCCATTTTATTATTAACAGTGAGATATAAAAGACTTTGTTCATATTTTTAAGGCCATTTCCTTTTTTTCTAATCCTCTTACAATTGATATTTTTTTCTTACCCTTCCCCTTGGCATTGTATGAGATGGGAAAATATACACCTCTTCACTTCATTTTGTTAAAAAAAAAAAGTAAAATATAGAATTTACTTCATCATAAATAGATACATAATAATCATTTCAACTCAGTCTCAATCAATCAATTTTGTACGTACAATGATTATTTGTCAACTTGCTCAATGGTGGCCTTCTGTCTTAATTTATCCTACAGGAGAGTTCCATACATTTACCTTAAACAGTAGATTTTCCTTCAGCAAGCAATTCTTCTCTTTCTTGAGCTTCTAGCAACTCCCTCGCAGGACGGATAACTGACCAGTATCTAAACATTTACATCGTAGTTTTGTTATCAGCTTGCAACAATAAACCTTCAGGTCTCAACACGTAAACAATTCTGATGTTTAGGGTTTTAAGAATTCAAATTTAAAAAAGTAATATAAGAAAGGCAATCGCTTAAAGTTCCATTTTCATACCCTTTTACTGTGAAAATAAATTAAATTACAGTAAATAACAGAAACCACTTTCGTTATGATTATGCCGTTATCTAAAAAGATAATCTATGGTTCAGCAAAACAAGGCTCAATTCTAAAATGTACTATAATGGCCACTAGAGTATCTCACAAAATTAAAAATACAAAACCTCGAGTTGGGTGAAACCATTGGGCCGAGCGCTGCGACTAAAAAAGGCTTAAGATTTTTTAAATTGCATTTTCACATACATTACATTAAAAAATCTCTTAAAAAAAACTATTTTTTCCACAATCAAATAAAAAAATAATGTGCACGAAAATTAAAGAAGGGGGAGGATTAATAAACCATACCCAAGGAATTCACTAAATTGTAGTTCTTTATAAAAATTAACAAGGCTTTCATAAACGAAATTTTCAGTTTTCTTAGAAAATAAGATTTCTTACAATCTTGATAGTCTGTTTTTTTGTTTTAACCTGTATGTGTAGTAAGCGCAGATAGGGAAGAATGACAGTGAGATTGTAGCACAAATGTTAGCATTGGATCTCATCAACTTGTCCAACCACTGAGATTTAGTTTTACCCAAATATCTAAACAAATGCCATAGGTTAACAAGATTATTTCCCGAAAAAAACTGCAAGTCTCGATTTTTTAAAATCTATTCTTTTCTTCTTTAATAAGCGCGTAGAAAAAAGATGCTTTTTCTTTTTGAAGCGTTTTCAATTATCAGAAAAAAAGTATTTATGTTCATGTTTATATTTATGATAAAATTTTCCTTTTCATATCCTGTAGTTCAAATTAACACATATTTTCTTTGAACATCAGCAGTTTTATAATTGTGAGATTGGATGGACCCTGAAGTATAAGGATACCAAACATAGCATCAAAGAATAGAGAGAACAAAAAAAATATTTCAAAGAACAAAAAAAATATTTCAAAGAACAAAAAATAGTTTTAAAAATAGTTCAAACGTGTGTATATAATGGTTAAGTTAGGCTAAGACAACTTCTGAACCAATCGCTGCGGCTAGGGCAGACTAGGAGGCAGACCGCTACGAGTTCAAATCAATATAAAAATTGTTTAAATGAAACCAAACAATGCAGTTCAAATGTATGTATTATTTCAGGGTTAGGTTGAGACGATTTCTGGGCCGAGCTCTTCGGCTACAGAGCGTGCCATAAAATATTAGATTATCTCAAAGCTTTAACGCCTAAATACTAGCATAATGCTCGAAAACCTGGGATTTTCGGCAATAAAATTTATAGATTAGCCTTATTCACTTTTTTAAAATGATTCATTCTTTTATAATTTTCTGATAAGTCCTTTAAATGTTGATTTAAAGCTATAAACGATCAATATGATGTGGGACCTGGACACCCTGTAGTTTCTGTAAACTATATTTCATTTAGACTGTTCTAATTTTTATTTGAATTTTTTTTTACTTTTATGTTCATTTGAACTTCTTTTTCATTTGAACAATTTTTTGTTACTTAAACTATTTTCATGTTCATTTGAACTATTTTTAAGGTTCAATTGAACTATTATATTTATTTATGCTCAAGTCACCAATAGTTTTATGAACATAAGAATAGTTCAAATGGCAGAAGTTCAAACAGGATAGCATCAGCTTAACAACGTTAGCAAACCGTCAAGTGGTTTACCTCCTAGGTCCTCTAGAAGCACCAGCAGTCTGAGATACTAAAATTCTAGAAGGAGTAAGGAACATGAACTTGCTGAATGAGAGTAGCTGTACCATTCCCCGCATATTTTAGATCATCCAGTCTGAAGATTTAATGCTCTTAAACGATATGTAATGATATTAACCTAAATACGGCGAATTTTCAAATTAATTATTTCTTTGTATATTTCAGACATCAAAAAGAGTTTACTTGGTTAAAACAATAATACTAATACTATCATTATACAGGTGTCCCACATCAAGTTAGACCGCGTCAATGGGTCTAAATTACGATTTGGGGGATAAATCAGAAAATTTAAGAAGAAGAATTTTTTAAAATCTAATATGGCTAAAAGAAATTTCTTTCTTCAGAAAATGCTATTTTTCAAGTATCATGTGCGTATTTTGGCGTTAAAGATTGGAGATAATCTAATATGATATGGGACGCTCTATAGTTCAGATTCCTAGACGACAAAACTATTCAGGTTAATTTAGGTCAGAGTAACTTTAATAACATTTAATACATTATTGAAAATGTTTGTAATGTACACTGTACAGGAGGTAATAATAATTTATAATTTTTTAAAAATACAATTTTAAGAAGTTTATTTTAAGTCAACTTTTAAGATTTCGAGCACTTGAAATGACTAAGACGATGCATTCTAATCAACCCAATAATTCCGATGTCGAATTAAGTTTTTTTTTATAAAAATTGCATCAAATTTTTAGATAATTACAAACAAGAACGGGGTCGTTTTCGTTTCCAATGCAAATATTGAATAAGAAAAAACATTACATTATACAAATTATTAAGGCTTTAATCAAATGAAAATCAAAATAGAAACATTTGTTTAGTGCCGTAGTTTTACTGTGGTGTTTACAATATCACATAATTTTTTTTTATTTTAATTGAACAAGAAAATGCAACAAATTAAAATTACTTATACTTTTGGGCAAATTGAGAATATTTGTTAAACAAAATTGTTTAAGAAATATTTACATATAACAGGACTGACACTCATTATATTTCTCTTTTTCATTTTTCAACCAAAAATATTTATAAAAGATCAATACAGTTAAAAAAAAATTCATTGACAAACAAAAGCTGTATTTTCTAATTTTCCCCAATTTCAAAAACTACATTCCGATCCATATACTTTCCACTTAATTCAGGCGTTCCAATTTTTAAGGGGTGTATATTTTCTTCTAAAATCATTCCCATCCCCTGCCTTTTAAAACATTTTTTTCCCCCACTGTTAACTTTGTTTGTAGGAAGCGCAGAAGTTGTAAAAAATATTAGCCCTTTTCTTTTTTGCCATTTTAAAAATACCTCTTTTATTCTAATTTTACCCTTTGCACCTAGTTCTTGAATCTTGATAACTCTTTCATTTAAATTTTCTATTTTTTTTTTGTATTTTTAAAAGTTACCCTTTCTTCCTTTTTGATCTTTAAATAAACACAAACTTACTAAACTTGGAGAGAAAAAAATAAAATGATTTTTCAACATAATATACACCCATGTGAGAACAGACAATAAACTCACTTCCCAATCCAAACATGAAAGAACATAAAATTTAATTTCCTTAATAGTCCGGATTCCCTTTTAATAATTCGTTAAATAATGATTTAAATGTTCACCATTTTACCATCTTCAAATGCTTAATAACGGTAGAAAGGGGAAGTTGGCCTTTTTTGTTGCTTAATTTAATTATCTATTTTCATGTTGCTTTCCGCTTCAGAATTATTTTTCCTTTAATCAGCTGGGTAATACATATTTTTTGTTTACTACCGTCATCTTGTCGTCTAACCCATAAAGCTTCCGTAGCAACAGCAGAAATCACCGCCTCGTAAGTTCCTTCCCGTGTTTGTTCGACGTAAACGGTTTGCCCGCGTCGAAACCAGCGTTTTTCGTAAAAGAGTTTTCCACTCTCTATGCGCGCGTCTCTAGATACACTTGGAGATGAGGACGTGGAGGATTGAGCTGAAAGAAAGAAATCTTTAATTTGTTCATTTCAAAATTTTTAGGAGATGTTAGATTATTAAAATCATAATCTATAATTTCAAAAATATTTAGAAATATTAAATCTAACCTGCAGGACTATTCGGAGGTTTGATATCCTTTAAAGTTTTGTTAATTATCTTTAGATCGTCAGAAATCTCTGAATCCTCCAAGAGGTAAGTTAAGGTAGCTTGTGGCGGCTTTCGTCGCTTGTCTCCAGGATAACTGCGCGACTCTGTCGGCTCATTTCCTCGGCGTCGAAGTTTTCTGGTATTGATTGGTTTCAATTCCATACTGTCTCCCGTAAGTTCCATGCTGGTTCTCTCCTTAAAAAAAGATAAAACATAAATAAAGCTTGCCTTGTTATTCCAGCTGCGAGATTTTTGCTAGCTTATTCTTTGCTAACCATTTTAAATAGAATCATTTTCGCTTTACCAAAATAGCGAATCGCAAAAAAAAATAAGACCGTTTTTTCCAAAATTCAAAATTTTTCTTCATAGATGAGGGTCTTATGGCGCGAAATTTGTAGTGCTTAGTTGTTATAAGATCGAGTGTCATGATGAAAATTCTATTACTGTTCAAATATTCCGGAGAGTAATACTTTTTGTCCCCCCCCCCTTTTTCAAATTTATGCGTTTTCCCAGATAATAAGTATTCCGCTAGATAATTCAGAGTTCTCCGTCATCCTTGACCAGTCAAAGGTTTTAAGGGTGCCCTTGTGAATCTGACATGGCCTTCTTTGCATGGAATTTCGTTTGAAATTACGCTTGCAGCCCCTTTAACAACATAATTTACGTTCAGCAGGTGTTCATCAATTCTTTCGTAATGAAATGCTGTGGGGAAAGGTATCCTATTTGTTGATAAGATTTTTTGTGCCGCACTAACCGGCCATTATCTAACGCTCGGTCGCTTTTTGGCGTCATACCGGTCCTGAACATTTGCTCAAGATTTACTGACTATTAGAACGAATGAGAAAAGTAAAAAAAAATCCCATTTTTTCTCTTTTTTCCCAAAAATCTTTATATTCAACCCGATACGTCTCGAGTCTAACGGATTTGGATCCTTATTCGGACACTAAGCATAGCTTCATATTTTACAAATGTGCGCGCGCGTTCGCATTAAAAATTATTGGTGGTTATGTTCCATGCTAAGTTTGGCCTAATTTAGAATAATAGCATCATGTACAACATCATGAAATCGACATACAACCTGTAAGATCTACGGTAAACAGTAAATGCAGGGGATATTAGTTCCAAAACTAACACTTGGCCCATTTCTAAGACTGAGTGTTTGAAATGGGCGAAATCTGCAAAGTTATCTTTTTCAAGAGTATATATCTTTAAATCCAAAACGAGAAGAACAAAATTACACCATACTTTTATAAAAAAAAACTGGCTAAAACTGTATATTGAAACCATAAATGTCAATTTTAAAATAATAATAAGGTGTGAGAATTAGTTTTTGATGATTATTGATTTCATTTTTAAACATATCCCTATTTTAAAACAATTACCGGATTTCAGCTCATTTCGCGTTTTCGGAACATATCCTGGTTTTGAGACAATTACGGGATTTCAGCTCATGACGTGTTTTCGGAACATATTCTGGGTTTGAGACAATTACGGGATTTCAGCTCATGTCGCGTTTTCGGAACATATCCTGGTTTTGAGACAATTACCGGAATTCATTTCAATGTAAATTTTCAAGTTTTTACGCACTTATGAAACAAAACAAGATTTTTTGATAAGGTAAAATAGAAACAAAGTAGAAAATAAACTGTTCTTTTATTATTTAAAAATCATTACAGCATTAAGAAATCAAAATTTTAAAATCATTTGTTCTTACAATATAGATTTAACTAGAAATGCGGGAAAGTGTTTGTTACAAATGCTGAAAATAAATCAACCATATTCTCTAGATAAAATGTGGAAACTTAGATCCTAGAAATAATTTAGAAGTTAATTTAGTCTTCATAGATAATTTTTTTTGGTGATTTATTTTGTAACTGATGAAAGTGAGTTTTTTTTTAAATTGTGGATTATACTCAAAAACGGTACAATGTTTCAAATTCAGGATATGTTAGAAAATGGAAAACCAAACTAACATTGTCTTGAAAAAAGAACTCCTATTATAATTTTGATTAAAAAAAGTTTAAAATTGGGAATTGTTGTCCTCGTCATGTTTAATAAAATGTTGGTTATAGTTTTATTATCGACTTTTACTCTGGATGTGGGTCGGGATCCCAAAAACCCAGCCTGTCAATTTGTGCCCATTTGTAACACTCAGTGTTGAGTGTTAATTTTGAAACAAATGTCCCCTGAAATGCGGGCTTATAGTGCTTATACAGGATTTTTTTAACCATAAAAATATAATCCTTCGGTTCAATTACCTATAAATCGATATACAACATGTACAATTTATGGTACAATGACCCACAAGGTACCCAGCTGGCTAATATCATGCCAGTCAGAATGCTTAAATATCGATTTTGACCTCGGAAATGATGACCCAATACATTTATATTTTGATGTATTACACGATATCATTATTTTAAATTTGGACAAACTCAGCATGGAATATAACCACTAAAAATGATTTAATGCCAGCGCACAGATGTAGGCATTGTGGCGCGAATTTTTTTTTGCGCATATTTGTTTTGAGAGTGTTTTGATGAAAATTCAAGTTTACCGACATAGGGTCAAACGACAAACGGTCAAAAACGCAAACGGTAAAACGACAAAGGGTCAAAATAAAAAAAAAATTAAAAAAAACATTTTATGTTTTATTTCAGGGTTAGGTTAGATTTAGATAGTTTCTGGGCCGAGCGGCTACTAGTTCTAATGAACATAAAAATATTTATAATGAAAATATAGTCTAAAGGAAATTTTGCACGTTTGTCGCATTTTTTGACCCTTTGTCATTTAGTCGCGTTCTTGACCATCTGTCATCAAACTATCAAGCCAAATTCGTCATATCTTATACCTATTTAAACATTACTTCTAAATGCCAATAAAAACTACATTTATATATTTTAAATTGATTTATGATGTATAATATTCGAAATAAATTAAGTCATAGACGAATGTTATCGATTTTTTAAAATGTCACAGCAGGAATCTGTAAACTCTTCGATTTTGAATTTCAATCGTACATTCGACATTAGATTGAATTCAACAGCATTAGCAAAGACGTATTTTAATGTTTTTTTTTTGGATCAGGTCTATCAGGATATGAAACCGCATCTATATGTAACGGATCCTAAGCACCGAATTAAGATCAAAAATAAAAATTAACATCTTTTTAAAGAGCCCCATCCCGTCCCCTTTGTATATTTTCCCTGCTTTAACTTAATTTCTAAATTCTTCATAAGGGTTGATAAACTAAATATTTCGTCAAATAGAAAGATATAATCTAGCAAAGATTACGTTAGATAGTTAAAAAACAAGCGTAGCGCCGTTATGAAAAAAAACTAATTTCACCTGCTCAATCATTCTTTGCTTCTCCTCAAGTTCAGCAACGAGTTGTTCCTTTAGGTATATCTTCTTTTCTTCGAATTCCCTGAAAATCATATGCTGATTGCTGAAGAAAGATTGTAATTGTCAAATTTGAAATTGGTCTATTATCTTTAATTAGAAAATGGAGTTTTCAGATCAAGCTTAACATCAGATAAAGAGTTAAATCTGTTACATTGACTTGCAGATCGTCAAAACTTAAAACTAACTTTAACTAAGCTTAACTTAACTAAACTTACTCTGTAAGACAAGAGTTAATTAAATCTCCCTTAGTCTAGATGCCGCTCTAAGATACGACGCGTGGTCAACGTATTGGAAGTATGATTAGTCACGCGTAGGATCCAGATTTTCCTGATATTATATACGTTACATTTTCCAAAATAATTCATTGATTCTTTTAACGAAATCATTTTTAGTCTTTAATGATCTAGATATAGTTCAGTCGCTTTGCACAATTTGAATATATTTATGCTAGATTTTTCAATTTTAATGTAAACTTTCCCTTCTCCTCCCCCTATCCATCTCCTTTTCGACCTCTTTTTCTACCCCTTTTTCATCAATTTCTTTATCCCTTCCAACCTTCCCCTTCAATTCCTTTCCTTTTCCCTTTCAACATTCCCTACCATTTATTTCCTACTTTCCCTTTCCCATTCTCTTTTCCTAACCCATTTACCTTCATGTCAATATTATTAATAAGAATTAGATAAAATTGGTTCTATTAGAAACAGAATATGCCATAGATTAAAAAGTTAAAAAAAACACAATTTATTGATTAATATTTGTATCAACATTTTTTTTGAAAGGGAATCGCAGAAAGAAACTGTAAGAATTCTCATTTCACCTTTCCCAATTACTAACTTAAAGCCCTCTCCCATTCTTTAAAGTTTTTATATATATAAGGTTTCACCTTAGAGCAGCTTTTTCCTCTACGTGAAAATCTTGCTCTGCCATCTCCAGCTCAAGTTCTCGAACCACAGTATTAATACGCATTCGTTCTCTGTAGCTCTAAAATATTTCTAGTAAGATGTGTATTTTCACTACAAACAGAACATACTTGACAGATACCTGTAGAGAAGAATAAGAACAAAAGCAATGGCTGGAAAAAGCCAAAACATGGAAGATTTTAGTTCAAATTTATTATATGAGGTGCAAACACACTGGCTGACTTACCTGTTCTACTTTTCTGAGCTTCCTTGTATACTCAGGATGGATTCCTTCCTCCAAATGAAGAAACTGTTTCTTTAAATGTGCCATTTTGTCCTGGTACATCTGTTCCTTGATCTCGGTATATTCCCTATTCTGAAAATTCTCCGTCTCACTCGCTTCATCAGTATCCTCACCACTACCCCCTCCCTCGCTCTCGTCTGTGTAGAACTTGAAGAAATCATCCTAAAAAAACGTCTTAGTAATCTAAATTAAAGAGACTGTAAGTGTAATGCCAAATGACTCTCCATGCAAAGATGGGAATGTCCGATTTACAACGGCACCCTTCAAATCCTTTTTGTGTTATGTGTATTATGTGTGTAAACGTATCTAAATCCACTTGTATCACCAACTGAAAATTCCGATGTGTACTCAACGTAGCGCACAGTGGAGTTTGCAGCTGATCATACAAGCGGATTCAGAATTTCAGATAGGTTTATTCACACATCTCTGTACTCGACGAACACAAAGGTTTAAGGGTACCGTTGTAATTCGGACATTCCCCTTTTTGCATGGAGGGTCACTTAAAAATTACAATGAACAATCGTTTAGAATTCCTGTTTACCAATGATTTCAGAAGATCTGGGTGTGTGGAGGGGAAGGATGAAAATTTGAACATTAACTAGCAAGTTCCGAACTACACTATTAGAAAACGTAGGCAAATAGTGTATTTTTCGGCAACGACGGAGAGGACAGTCTATCGTAACTTTACAGTTGTCGAATGTCGGATTATCCAAAGGTGTTTGTAAAAAAATGGCAACAAAAAAACACTACCTCCGGCTGTAGAATCCCCGGGCTTTTCCTCGTTGATAAACAAGAACTATGTGTGGTAGGTTCAGCTGCGTTACCAGGACTGTTTCCGCCTGCTCCTCTACCAGACATTATTAAATTTCTAAAATCATAATAAAAAGTTCCAATGATCAAAATATTTAGTTTCATAGGGAAAATTTTAAGACCACCCCCCCCCCTCTCACCCTCTTCTTCAAAAGATTGTACATAAAATGTTCTGTACTATTCCAGGATTAAGTCAATTTCTGGGCCGAGCGCTGCAGCTATGGAAGGTTAGATGGCAAAGTGCTGCGGCTAGGACATGCCAGGGGGGGGGGGGGTTCACACATCCTTCTTTAGAAAATTACTAATTATTTTGTATTATCTTAGGATTTGCTCAGGTTCAAGACGATTTCGGGCCGAGCGCCGTAGATAGTACAGGCTGGGGGTTGAGCGCCACGACTTGAACAGGACAGGGGGCCAGGCGCTGCGGCCAAATGTCCAACTATATTCTTGTGTTACATATGAGTTGCATTTACAAAATACAATGGTCTTTCTGAGAACACAAGGATTATCCTAGTTCCAACCCGCCCTCCATCCATCCCCAGGGTGAATTTAGGATATTAGCTCTAGGACCATGACTAGCCTGAAGTGTAAACAGACTGAAAAAGGGGGATTTATTTGTAGACCTACCCCATCCAATTCTTACTAAAAAATACACTATAACATAAAGCCTACACTTCGTTTAGAACCTTTTTCTCAACTTAAGAATACGAGGAGTTTAAATTGGAATAAATCTAACTAATCTGAAAAGACAACCACTTCTAAGCTTCTTCTCGAAAAGTAAATTACGGCTATCGCTCGGTAAAAATAATATTCAAATATCTTATAACTTTCCCGTTACTCGGTTTTCTAAAAACTGATCCTTCATCCTAATGTTCAGTGTAACAGTATTCATAAAAGTTTCAAAACCGGTTTTCTTCACTATGCGCAATATTGGCAAATTTACATCACTGCCATACATTTAATTAGCCGGGGAGGGGAGGGGGGGATTACTTTGCATTTTATTATTTTAATTTGCGGCATTTGCGATTTTGAAATGTCGTCTTATCCCGGGGTTGTATCGATTGGACTAATGTCCATTTCGTTAATCGAGCTGTAACTTGCTTTGACTCTGACTATGATTTAGGATCATAGCATACAAGGTTAGATTTCAGATCATGGTCAAAGCTCATTCATAAGTCAAAATTTTGATGTTGGATTCAGTATGATTTCAGATCTAGTCAAAGTACAAATTATAATTTGTTTTATGAATCCATCTAAGCTGCTCTGACGTGCATGATTTCAAAATTTGATGACATTCGAATCTAGACGTATTTATAGGTTTGGAATACGTAAAAATATTTATTTATTCATAGGTTTTCCGGTAGATAGGGCTATTCAGATCACCTGTTTCATGGTACTATCGGCGTAATTTCAAGTGACCCTTTATTTTAAAACAGTCCCAATTTTATCTTTTGTTTGAGAACATTTAAAGAGATATCCAGTTTTTTAGCTAATAATTTTCAACTGCAATTTCTTTATTGAAGTCACATAGCAGATTTATGCAGCAGAGACAAGGGAAAAATACATTTGGCTATGACATCAAATTCCAAACATTGTCATGAGAACACATCCAATTATGTTCCGACTCTAACAGGTATTTTTGATTTCCAACAGTAGGAAGCGCCCCAACCTGTTGGAACACAAGGGAGGGCATGCGCTCCACCCCCCCCCCTCTGCAGTTACGGCCC